TAYWSCWYWWATACCTTGTCCCTTGAGRGAAGTCTCCGTTGGCCAGTGTTAGTATTRTTGCTGGTTCGGCTTTGAGGTGTTTTGGTAGTATTAYTTCTCCTTGATACAATGGCCTTGCGGTTGTCCTTCTTTTGAACATTGCGCGCTTTTCCTTGTGGTAAACCTTTGTCACCTTTAGTAASMTTTTTGTGCGCAGAAAGTCCCTCCTCTTCAACAGGTTCTGTTTGCTGACTTCCTTGTGGAGTCTGTTTATAGTTATCCTGGGCTATTTGTTCATCTTTACTTCTGTGTTTGAAGCCATGGTTTGGTGWGGTTTTTCTACTCGAATGTATATCATCTTTGTGGTTTCCATTTGTCGTTTCTCCCTGTTGAACGTGGTTTTCTTCATAAGTAAGAATTTTCCTTGAACCACTTTGTCCACCTGGATAGTCTGAAAMGTCTTCAGTACTTGAAATTGCACCTAMATTATGGCTAAKAAAGCCTTTTTCATTGTTTTTGMTACTTGCAGGCGCTTTTCTTGAACCATTTGAACTGCTTGAAAAGGGTTTTCTTTGCTCTGAAGAGTGAGTTCTTGACTTAGAACCTCCATGGGTAGAAAATGTTGTCTYTGTTTGGCGCYTTGCTTCGTCTTTTTTGTTATTCCCTCGGTTTGAAAAMCTTTTTCTTGAAAGGGGAACGTCTCTATGGGTTGAAATTGTGGTTGCAGTTTGGTTCTCGCGGTCTTTTTCATCACGTGTAAGCTCTTGCTTCGGGTCTTTAGAATGGTCTAGAAAGTTTCTTTGCATTCTCCACTGAATCAAATCCCCGTTATTGTTCAAAAATGATGTTTTCTTTCCCTCTCCTTCAAATTCTTCACTACTGTTAACCCTTGGACCTCTAGGTAAAGCCGATAAGTTTTTAGTTGAGTTTAAACCGCGTTTATGTCTTGGAGATGTGGTTATCTTTTCGCTTTCTTGGTCAGTACTTGTTAAAGACTGTCTTGAGCCTTTAAAATGAGCTGAAAAGCCTGTATTTCCATCATATTTCGTTCTTTCATTCAAACCATTTGAATTAAACGTATTTTTCCATAAACRTTCTTTCTTAGTGGAAGATTTATGAAATGATGATTGGGCAAGGCGYCCTGAATCTAACCCTTCATTCGGCGTATTCTGAGGTTGTACAACTTTAACATCGTATGAAAACCTTGTTTTGTAGATGAAATCATTATTAGTTGGTTTGCGTTGACTTTCTCTCGGGATCAAAGGATAATAATTTGCAGTTGCAGGAACTAAATGTTTCCCACTTGGTTCAATTTTTGTCATTTCACTTTCATATTCAGCGYGTTTCTCTCTGAATGGTAAAGATGGATATCTTTCCATAAGTGACATTCCACGAATATGCCGGTATGGATACTCCATGGAGTATTTAAACATGCTGATATTGTGCGGTCTTTTTACGAGAGATCAAAACGGTGAGGGCMTTCCGTCAGACAACAGAGCACATAGAAGAACTGGACGATGATATAATCGCATTTAGTTTCTTTTATACGCTGTATATAAAAAACATTTCTCTGTTTCTTAAGTACATGGTAGCATCGTAAATACTATTATCTGCTGTTGCCATGTCTGTGGTTTTAAAACTAACTATATACCTATGGATTACTGATGATATACAATACAACACACACTGTACACATAAAACAATTAAAAGCCTAGTGCGAACCCTGAATCTTTAAAAGTGTCCCGCGGTGATGCGCGTCGTGAAGGTTTAAAACAAGAGGAGCTTTTGTCCTTGGACTGAACACAGATGACATGATGGCTGCAAATGTAGTTTTTTTTTCTAAGAGTTTGATCTGTGGCTGCGAATAACAACGCTTATGTGATCTTAACTCTTACTTATGTCTTACTGGATCTAATCGGTTATTGCTTTTATAGCAACTTTTCAGTWTGCTCAATTCAAATCATCCTTTTTTTCACAGTTGAATTCGGTATTATAGACCGCGACAGTTTTTTCCCCACAGGTCTTAACTATAGGTGGAATCGACTAGTGGARACGTGATCACTTAATCMCAGGCCGTCTTTTATCAGACTATTGCTAGATGGTCCTTTTAGAGTGTACAGTTGCTATTACAGCTCTTTCTTTATGCTGTTTTAGGCACGTTRTCCGATTTATAGAGCTCTTATTTGAGGCACTGGGTCTCCCTTTCCGAAAGCGCGCTGTTTTGTATCCACCAGTTTTCTGTTTTTAAAATGTTTTTAGCATTATGAAATCATGTACAATAGAACAGCTAYGAAAACCCTTGAATTTATACAAGAAAGGCTGAAAATTTGATARGGAGTTACCGCGGGAGTTCCTCGGGGAGCTGGGAAGGGAGGAGAGTTGCGCAGTTGCGCGGAAGTGAATAAACGCGAGAGCCTGAGAACTAGTTCACGTTKTCCTGGTGTAATGGCGGTCAGATTTGAACTTGGGTCTCATCCGAAACAGCAAATAACTGTGATCTTTTGTAACGAAAAGTAAGTGAATTATATAAAAWTATATTATTAATGTCTATTAGAATCGTTTAGAGCTTTACTCAATTTCTTAAAAATGCTTTAAGCGTTAGAATTTCGGCCAAAATTCCGTCCTTCAAACTCTGGAATTAAGCTAATTCATCTGGGAACAGAGTTAACTCTGCTGGAAAATATTAACCAAACTCTTCTTGAAACGATAACTTAATGATAATCGATAAATATATTCTTATAGGGTTAAAAAAATTAAAGCTTTGTGTCTCAATTCATGTCAATTTCTTGTGGGCTGCTTTTGAAGTGGAAGGGAAAGATTCAAATCCCACAGGAAAATAAGACCAAATGTTTGAGCATGGATAAAAGCACTAGTGCTTTTATTATCCATGGTTTGAGAGTCTGGTCCTCTTAAAATACAACACAAAAATATCTTTTCGTAGCTAACCACATTAATTGTATCACAATCAATTTAATGATCAATCTCTGATGGACAACATAAAGACAGTCTTAATTACTGTATAGAAGTTGCCGACTGCTGTCTACTCTTTCCACAGTCTCTTCCTTAAAGACACAATGATCACCCAGTATGTGAATCAAACCGAGCAGTTGAATTACTTTCACAACAGGTTTTTTTTTTGCAATACTTTGGGGTCATGGGGRTTTCATATGAGAGTTTGAAGACTTGAGAGGGACTTGCTAGTTACCTGAGGTGTTGATGTCCTACTTGGAATGAGATATCTGGTAAATATAAGGCCCGTTTCAGATGTCGATCTTTTGCCACGTCTAATCTAATTGCTTGCATGTAGTTCACGAGAAGTTTGCAGAAGAAATCAATTGATATTATTTTACGGATTATTATAAGTTCATCCAACTGAACAAAATCTGCCAATGTCAATGAATTCAGAGTACGCAGTGTTTATAAACTCAACTCCACCAATTAGATTAGACGCGGCAAAAGATCAATGTCTGAAACGGATGTAATTTCCTGGAGGCATCTTACATCTGGATGATTGCTTACACTTGGATTTAAACCATTTAATTTCAAAACAACTTTTTTTATTTCAAAAATAATTGTTTACAGATTGAATTTTTGAATTTCTTAGAACAAAAAATGAAAACCCCTACTGATATGTCAGCAACATTTTTGCTCAGATTCTTGATTGAGGAAAATTGGTCCTCTTCATTGATTCTTTACAGCATTTTTAACATTCTCTTAGCCTGTGTAYRTCCGTTTCTCACCCYTTTTGTGAGGRGTAAGAAACAGATGCATGTACACAGGCTAACATTCTAACATTTTCTTTGCTTGATTTYTATCTACAGTGAATATCAAAATCACTGTTWTTGTGCTTTATCTATTAATGATGCATGTATSTATCTGGCTAATCACAAACATCAMTGTGTCTCTTATCTTTAGTATGAATGTTTCAATGATAATGCTTCCAAGAGAAGGCATCTTCCTATAGGTTATGGGTGAAMTGCATGTACAGTTAGGYTTGAAAATGTTTCACCTTTGTATAATCTATATCTTCACATTTCATCTTGACAACCGATGGAAACAATCCTTTATTGTGTTCAAATATTCTTTWCTTATTTCTTGATCTCCATGATACCCTTGTCATGGTTAAATTCGTTGAGTGTAAAGTTTTCTAATGTGTACGGAAGGCTTTGAATACCATTCCTATTATTGTCCAACCAGGTTGTAACCAATCCTTTGTGTTCAAATATTCTTTACTTATTTCTTGATCTCCATGATACTCTTGTCGTGGTCAACTCGATATTGTTGAGTCAAATGTTTTCCAATATGTACAAAAAGCTTTGAATACCATTCCTATTATTGTCCAACCAGGTTGTCAGATAGTCCAGCTAATATATTTAATTATATTGTGTCTTGATCAAGTCATTGTGTTGGCACATAATGGACAACGAGTAAAAAAACATTTCAAACAGTCTCGATAACATTTTTGGTGAAGATAATGACCGCACTTTAAAATCTGACAAGGTTCTCTTGATGAGTGTAAATCTTCTAAACAAATCACGCAGTTCGTTCGTGAAGCACTTTCCAAACAAGTGTGAGTAGCTTTTAARGCCGTGGAAACACATATATCACATTTATCACAATGAAAAAAATTGTCCCTGCCTCCAACTCGGCAAACTCCACACTGGTCGCAGTGRAACTGCCCTTTRTCTGAGTCGTCRTAAAGCCTGCATTCCTTACAAAAATAAAATCCAAATCTGATATAACATTCTGAACAATGGCTGACAATTCCTTGTAGATGACCACATTGGGTACACTGGACTTTCTGCACGGCTTTTCTGTTAAGTTCGTGGTTTTCATTTTCGTCRTGGCATATCCTACATGCGTATATTTTACYGCAGCAAGGAGTGTACAAAGCACATTTACGAATATAATGTGAACATCTCGTCGCCATGTTGACACTTCCTTCTTCTCTAGTGCCTAATCTTCACGCGGATTTTTAWGACAAAGGAGGCCCAAATTAGTTTTCTAATAAATATCATTTTCCAATATTTTCTTGGAGATATATTTCGAAGAAATTGTTTAAGTACTGAACTTTAAAAATGTGTTAAGGTGTGTAGTGCATTTTAAAGATTTTTCTGGTATGTTTTTTTTTAACAAAACAGTTGGCATTTTAAAGAGGAATTGATTTATGGTAATTAATTCACATAATGCTGCTTCCACAGCATAAATGTTGTCGTGGCAAATTAAGCACTCTTTTAAAACAATTAGCAGCATAAATAATCTACGTGTGAATTTTGTGGGTTGTAAAAGAACAAAGATCATTAATGGATAGAGATGAAGCCGAAGTTAAACTAATTCCAAGCGAGAACGAAGACAAGTGTCATCAAAAATCATCTTTTCAATGGAGAGTTTGGAGACTATTAACAGTGTTTATAATCTTTGGAGTTATAACCGTGTGGATCGTTTTTACTATTTATCCATCTCTCGAGGCTCGAACGAAGGAATTACTCAACGAAAGGCTCGAGGTTAAAGACACTTGGACTAATGCTAAAGGAAACTGCTCAAYGCTTCCAAACGCGACACGCGAGTGGAAATTACACATAGGCTTCAAAGAAATTGTCCCAGGAACACTCATATATTCTGCGTACTTTGACAACACACGACAAACTCCTTATATTCGCATCATTGCGATTTCAGAGACTTTCAGACCTCCTAAAATCTTCTGCCATTCAATATGCGAAAGTAATAAAATTCAAGAAGCAAAGTTTCAATTGGTCTCAGGGCATAAAAATAGAAGACATGCAGCCTTTATTATTTCATGTGAGCTCCCCAGTGGGGTGGGGAGAGTACCAAACTTTGTTTCTCTCTCTGCGTACTATGATAAGAAAAGAAGTCAAATATTTTCATTTCCAGTTATTTCTACTGCAAAGAAACGACACCTTAGTGAATACACAGTTTGTGTCCCACCGTTGTATGGAAATGTCATATCTCCAGTCAATTTTATAGAATTCATTGAAATGAGCCGCATTTTAGGAGCAACAAAGTTTGTTTTTTACAATCAAAACATTCCCAAAGAACTTGCCAAGATTGTAAATATTTACCAGAGGAAAGGAGTTGTCATGGTAATGCCATGGAAACTTCCACACTACCTTGATGATTTTTATGCCATACATTACCATGGACAGTTGGCATCTATACAAGACTGCCTTTATAGGAACAGGGGAAAATCAAAGTGGGTCGCATTTAATGATTTAGATGAATTCTTAGTGCCCTTAAAACAACCAACAATAACGTCTTTGTTGAATACAATATCTCGACATGATGCAAGTGGATACTGCATACGAATGGTTTTACTGCCTAAAAATAATGTATTCACAGCAGAGGACCAAACAAACAAAACTCTAATCACACAACAGTACGTTTTTMGGACAACAACTGTCTTTCGGAGAARAAAACGTTCAAAATGCATTGTGGATCCTGAAAAAGTTTTGGAAATGGGAATYCATTACATCAATGAACCAGTATATGGTAATTACATGAAAACATGGGTTCGTCCTGAGGAAGCCTTAGTTTTTCAYTATCGRAATTGTATCAAGTTTGATGACCTAAAAGAAGCCTGCCACAGTCTCAAACCAGAAGGCTTCATGTTAAAATATAAGAAGAGACTCACGGCAAGGGTTAATAGTGTATTGCACATGGGCACTAACTTGACAAGTACATCGTGAACAGTGTCTAGTGGCAGCAGGTTTATCTATATTTTATTTTTTTAAATAATAATAAACTATTTATGAAGAAAAAGCTGTGCAAAAAGATAAATTTAACAATGTAAAAAAATAGGTGAAACAACTTACTGACATTTTGTTAATCAGTAAGTTTTTTCACCTATTATTTTACAGTGTTAAATTTATCTTTTAACACAACTTTTTTTAGAAACACTGACACAGCTCACATTAGTTTACTACTAGTTTCCACAATTTATGAAGAAAAACTTGCTGAAGCTCAATAATCAAATTGATAATGGAAAAAGCTCTATGGTTTTGCAACTGAATGGAATGACTGCAGCAAAAATTTTCTAAAAAAAGTTATTCATAATAATAATTTGGATATAATACATTTTGTAGTCTCTTTTGATGATGTTATTAGCAAAGGAGACTTTTAAGTCTCTTTTAAGTTTATTAAAATAAACTCATACACTAAATATGTAGTCCAATAAGTAAAATTCATGCCAATTAATTTAAACTATTAAAACATACAAAGGTATTATGGTTTGTTTGAGTTATTCCTATATAATTGTTATTATCCCCATATTGGACTCGATATCCATTATACTGAGATTTATGAACTAGATAAAAAAAAACAAAAAACACCAAGTTTCATTTTATTTTATTAGCAGAATGCTCTCAAAAAATACAAAATATCCTAAGCAATTTCTTATTGTTCCTTAATCACTGTTATGATTTATTTTATATAAAGAGAGTTAGAAAAAACTATTTCCTTGTYCTGTAATAACAATTTGTCAAACATGGATATTTGATTTGTCATTATGCCGATTAAGGTGCTTATTACATGTACAATAAAATATATGTTTATCACTTTGATTGATAGTCGACAGTATTACAAGGATGAGACGACTAACAAGCTCTATCAATTACTTTTCTTCCTAACACAACACCAACAAAACATCAACATTATGAGCCATGTAAATATTAGTATACTGTTTAACGTGTAGTTTATATCTAAAAGTAATTTGAATTATGATATAAGCTCAACATAATTTGCTGGAAACATGCCAAAGCTACCATCAGGCCCAGTTCCTCTCCACCATCCTTCGTCGACCATTTCAACATCAGTTATAATGTCACCAGGATCAAAGGTTATTTCACTATCGTCAGCTTTAAAAAAAAACAGGAAAAAAGTTAATATTTATAAACCTGTTTTGAAAATTGATACTGTATGTGAGAGGTTGAAGTAGCCAAGAGTTACTGTGGGTATTCAATATATTTTATTCATTATGTATTGACAGAAGAATAGTCTTCTTTGCAGTTCCCTGTGCCATCTTGAAAGGTAGCCGTGCCTTTGCATAGAAGCGAGACGACCGTTGAGTGTGCAATGATAGAAACCTTCAAGGTGCACATAACCGTAAAGGAGACTATTAACCAATCACAGGAGTTGATGCGCTGTTTTAGACAAAAGAGGCCTTTGATGACTGTTGTTTTGGTTTTCTGTGTTGTTTTTGTGTGTATGTGCAGTATTCATGCTATACTTACTGGCTTGATAGTCGTATAAAGCTTGGGCTCTTGTCCCTGCACTTGGAGTACTTTCTGGTTCTTCATACGTTTGCTGCTAAAAGGAAAAAAGAGATAAACTTAATATAGTAATATGAACACGATAGAACTAGAATAGGATTTAAAATATATACGATAGAATAGGATTTAGATTAGTAATAATTATACATATTATTAAGTTGAATTCTAGGCAAAAGAAGAAAGAGATGTGATTGTAATCTAAAACAATAGCATAGAAATGACAGTATGGGATAGATTCCTTGGCTCACCTGTTCACCATCAATTCTCTCAACGTAGTTTGCTGGGAACATACCAAAGTGGCCATCAGGCCCAGTCCCCTGCCACCAGCCTTCGTCAATTTCAGAGATATTTGTGATGATGTCACCAGGGTCAAATGTGATYTCACTTTCGTTTTCTTTATTACAAGTAACAAATTAGCTTTTAGACTAATAATAGTTCAAAACAAAAAGAGAAGAATATTTTTTACCTGCTTGGTAGTCGTAAAGTGCCCTGGCAGATACACCAGTATCAGTTGAGGGAGCAGGCTAAATGAAAAAGACATTTAAATGTTATTTCAATCAGGAAATGTACATCTTTTCAGGAACTAAAAAGTGAGTGAAAACATCACCGCCAGGAAACTTTCATTGCATCAGATACCATGAGTATAGAGGTCATTGCCTGGTACTCTGAATTGGATAGATGCCGCAATAGGAGAAGAACAAAGAAAGACTGATGAATGAATAAAGACAAGAATGCCAATCAATCCATATTATTAAACCACTTTTACCTCTGACTGAGCTTGTGGCAATTCAACATTCTCATACAGATCTTCTGGTTCTTCATSCGCAGGGGGAGTTGGTTCAGTAAATTGTGGCTCTTGTGATATTTCATCGTATGTATCATCAACGGGCTGCAATATGTATGAAAATAAGACTATGAGTACAGTTCAATGAATTGTATAAAAAGTAAAGTTTGTAGCTACCTGTGGCTCAGTACGAGGAATCTCTGGAACATTTTGTTGTGAATCATCTTCCCATTGAGTTTCTTCCTCTTCCTCTGAATCTGATGGTGGTCTCATAGGCTTTGGAATGTGGACTGGGGCCGGAGCAGGTTCAGGTTCAGTTGGTGTTGGTTCAGGCTCTGGTTCTGGCTCAGGCTCTGGTTCTGGCTCAGGCTCTGGTTCAGGTTGTCGCACTGGCGCAGGTTTTGGAATGGGAACTTTCTTAGGTAATGGACCTGGAGGTTTCTTTTTTGGAAGCGGTGCTGGTGCAGGGGCTTTCTTTTCTTCAAAGCGTGGTTTTTCAACTTTGCCTTTCTGAATTAATGATTCAGCTTCCTGGAAAATATGTAGAAAAACATCCTTAGTACATAGGAGTGTTTGTGGCAATAAAAAATGCTTTGCATCCTAGACATATAGATTATGATGTTCAACATGTATGATAAGAATAGATACCGGTTACTGTGGTAATACCTTCATTCTCTCGTTTCTTAGAGAGTCTGCACGAGATTTTTGCAGTTGTTGRTCTCTTTCATCTTCTTCACGTTGCCTTTCCTAGAAAAACATTTSCATMACAATCARAYAAGATGMCAGAAATAATGCGCAAATAGGAAAACTTACCCATCGCTGTCTGTCTTCTTCTTTCTTTTGTTCCTCAACTTGTTTGGCATGCTTTCTGTTASAAAATATATCTTGYAACTTAGACAATTTGTTTTTTTACTCTATTTGAGAATCAATTTGCAGTTTACCTTTGCTCTTCAATGCTTTTRGATCTGACTCTATATTCTTCTTCTCTTCTTTCTGACTCTTTGGCCTGAAATAGTTAATCATTCTATTAGCTATAATGCTGTACTTGAATTGCTGTTTAGATGTATACAACAAAAAGGAGCATTTTCATATTTAATTGAGAATTTATTCAATAAACTTACCTCCCTTTCTTTTCTTTTTCTTTCTAATTCATTTGCTTTTTGAACTTGTTCTTTCTTCTCTTCTGAAATTCTCTGTTTTTCTTGTTGCTGGTTAAAAGTAGATTATAAAGTTATTAAGCTATACTGTGTTAAGGTTCTATTTATTCCTGAGCTTGATGTGTGTGTACAATACCTCAGCTGATGCCCAAAACTGATCTCGTTTGTTGACATTAATCTCTTTGCCAATGTTTGTTCGTTTGTAAACAGAGCCCTAAGAATACAAAGTGTAATGATAAGATACAATCTTTAACAATCAGTTTAATAAGTTAGCCTTCATTATTATAAACCAAACACAGGCAGCCCATCTGTAAAAGATAGAGATGGGCTGCCAGTTGTTTGTCTGGAGATTACTTACAACTGGTAGAATTGGTTCTGCTTTCTGTGCCTTTTCTTTGTGAACGCTGTATGCAGCTCCTATCAATGAAAATACAAATTTTAAGTAAATAGAGAAACACCAAAAAAGACAAGTCTAAAAATACTACTCCATTAGTTTATATACCTGAAGCCTTTTTGACTTTTTCTAAAATTACTTTCTCTTCCACATCATCTTCATTTCTTGCATTAATCACAACATGGGCACCCTGTGTAATTAAGTACAAAACACAATAATCACTAATTATTTATAGCAAAACATAACCAAGATGTATCCTGGGTAATTGTACCTTGAAAAGATTTTCTACATCTCTGATGTGGTTKGCACATGYTCCCTTCCTTGATGATGGAACACCTTCTCCAGACTAGAACAAAAACAATTGATTACTGTACAATGTATTTTRAATCAATACTCCCAACCACGCCAGTCAAAAGTCATGGCATGTAATTAGCAATAGACATCTGTCAATCAAAACCAGTAGAGCCATTGCTTATAAACCAACGAGCAATGCAACCTTGAATAATCACAGATGATAATTTCCTTTTTCTGAAGGTGATTTGTATTGACATCATTCATTTTTCTTTTTTAGAGACTATATTAGTCAATGCCTAACTGCCATCAAATTGAATTCAGTGGCTCCATTAGAAAATTAGGGTTTTATGCTGTCAAGGAAACTTCTACACATAATGGATGGATTACCCAGTTAATGAAGACAATCTTAGGTAAGTTTGTATTAGGATCTATCACTTTGATTCCAGCATAAAGGATTTTGCCGTCATTCAGTTCATCAACCAACTCCTCTAGACCATCCTCTGTCAAAAACAAAGCATTCAAATCCTATTGAGAAGGGCAGTCAGCTAATAAACCAGTCGTAAAATTGTGTGAAATCTTCTTGTGAGAGCCTCTCTTCCATTTGGTATTTTCTAAGCTCATTTTTCTGAAGACTTTGCATTTGCCAATGAAGTATTGTGGGCACACGCAATTTCACGACGTCTGAAACCTGAGCCTCTCATATTCCAGAGAGCTCAAATTTGACAGGTCTTTCACTTGCATGTTGGAATTGTTGTATACATTATGCATTTTTAAGCATTTACAAAATGCAATGCATGCACATGTGCAATAAGATAATAKTTGCACAAATGATAATATAAGACATAGCTTTAAAGTGCCTACAAAGTAAAAAAAAATGAACAAGGATAAAAKTTTATGTTTTACCATTTACGAAAGCATCCCCTAATAACATTTTAATACTCAACAAAGAACACACTTWTACAGAAGCTGATATTACTATATAAAAAATATTCAAATCCTATAATATGGTTTAAAAGGTTTCCAAGGAAGAGAGATCGAAAAAGTTGTGGGATTATAAATTGTTTCACTTTTTGTGACCCCTMTACGTCACACCCCTAKGAGTTTGGACAACATTTGTGCATATTTACGGTACAAATGTATGGAAATTGGGATAAAATATTTGTAAAGTAATCATAACGGGATATTATGATGACAAACATTCAATTAAATGCCTATTATTAAATTTATTAAGTGCTCATAAACTGTTTTGAACTCAACTTCCGTACAACATACCTCCAGTCTCGGCGACTTTCAGAGTATTCGTTTTCCCTTCGTAGCCAAATACAGCCCTAAAATAGTTTGAAAATAAGTCGAATACCTAGTAGAAATAATGGACGAGCTATATTACTGACCAATTTGTGCTGGATTTATCATCGAAGATATCTTGCCATGTTTTTAGGAGTTCACTTCGATTCTTCCTTAGATCGATCGCCATCTTGACRACAGAGGTTGTTCACGTGATGGAGAAAACCAACTCACTTCCGTTTCCGAAACGAGGCTTTGTTTCACAGTCCCGCGCTCTATTAAAGCACAGCACTCCCAAATTTAGGGATCAGCGATTATTGGGATCAGGGAGGGGCTGGGATCACAGCCGATACTTGTGATCAATCTTCTTCCTCAAAAATAGATCATGTTGCGACCCTGAAAATAAATTACACCACAAGAGATTTGTGAGCTTTTCTACTTTTATGAACGCTGGGTCGTTAGCATAACTATTCAATTAGACCAAACACACGTCTGTCGGTTTCTATATTAGTTGCATTTTATGGTAGTCTTCCACCTGTGCCGACCCACGCAAGCACCAGATTGAAACAGGAAATTTTGAAAATCATAGAATCACCGAGGAGATTTTAATCTTCATGAGAACAATGATACCAAAGAAAACCGATTGCCAAATCACTTGGCAACAGACCACGTGTGCCACTAATRACATTACCGGMTTGTAACCAAAACTGTCCTATATTATAAATTTAAAAACCTACCAGAGCTACAATACTTCAAATTTCCAGAAATTAGGCTCTTTAGAGTAAGCAAAGACAATAAGATGTTTGGTACCACTACGAATGATAACAGTTTGTGAGGCTGCTACGGCTGTTCCGTGACTGGCATTAATCATCCTCGGTTTACTTATTAGGTAGATTTTAGCGGACAATAGACTTTCGATGCCATTGCGCAGCAGACAAAGAAAAAACCTTTTACTGTTTTTTTTGGTGATTATMATAGGTCAACGGCAATGATTTTGTAATTGCGTAAGGATTTGTAATTGAATTGTCGACTGAGAGTGAGTCGTACGGGGGCAGCGAATCTCATTAACAAGTCCAGTTCGCCAGCCACCAACGCTATTGTAGCCCACGCTGAAAGAAGTGAGCCCTGCACAGCTCTGATAAACAACTGGAGGGAAGCGATAAGCYCTTTTGTTTGYTAGGTAAACAGAATTCATCTGATACAAAGCAAAGCATACTATTATTATCACTTAATTATCCAATGAGCGACTTTACACTYCTCTACCAAGTTGAATAACATCCACAACAAGCACTCGTCGAAGTCCAAGATGAGTCAAGTACTGCAGCAAGCGCAACAGCCGAAACCTCTTACTATAAAGATCGTCATGTTAGGAAAACTTGGCGTTGGAAAATCAGGTGATTTAGTATAGCGTATACCTAGTTTTCATATGTCAACATACTCTGTGAAGTTTGAATTCATATCAAAACAACGCAAACTTCAAGTCTATTTTTAATTCTGGTGCCTTTATTTTGCAGCTATGACGGTGCGATTCCTCACCAAAAGATACATAGGAGAGTACGACCCTAATATCGGTAAGYCCGGMCATGCATTAGCGATGATGTGTTGTGAAATTAAGAATTCTATGGAGTCCATTCACTGGATTAAGCCGAGTTGGATGTTTGTTTTTTTTACAGTTTGTGTTTGCTCAAGGACTCAGCTCTTGAACATCGTTTGTTACTGTTTGTAGTTTCCGTAACACTTTATATTGATACTCAGAAAWTAAGGATAACAAATATACTKYTTTATTGCTCGTCGAGCCGGAAAAACGGCTCATCACTTTTACGCACGAATTGTAATAATTACTAGCAATTTGTTGGAGGGTTTTGRGTTGTCAGTTGGGCTTKAGATCCTGAAAACATTGACCTSTCMTTGCCGCTTCAAGGAGAARATTCTCTGAAAATTGCTACATTTGAATAAGCGGAGGCGAGGCTAAAACAGCTGCATCCATACAGTCACAAAACCTCGATAAACCGATGACAATCTCCTGTTAACGACCTCATATTAATTGCTCCACTATGAAAAATGCATCAAGCGGCTCATGACCACTTCAATTTCATTTACAAAGGAACTCCGCCTTTCGGCCACCCGTTTTATAATGTTATAAAGCTATGCATTTAAAATGGCCAGCTTTTAGATCCCAGCAAATTTTCTGTTCGGTTTAATACGCGCAMCCCGTTAATAAGGGCACTTTTACATATCTCTTTCAACTCATCAGAAAGAAGTGCCTCCATACGGTCTGAACCCCATACACTATAACAGCTATAACCCCATTTTAAAACGACCCTTCATAGTGTAATCACTTTTACATGTCATATTTTTAACAAAAAACTGTCTGCAACGCGTGGGACAGGGAGCCCGACATTAAGAACGGCTGCGACGAGACTACGTGTAACGCAAGTGTGGCTGCAAAGTTGACGCAAAAAAATCAAAACGGTTCGTTTGCTAACCGTACTGATCTATTTCAGGTTCTATATACCGGCATTCCATTAAACTTGAYCAAGAGAACGTGAATGTTGAGATTCTTGACAGCGGTGGTGAGGTATGTWTCTAGAATTATAAAACGGCGCGCGTGTCTCTGTCCTTTGATATAAACACGGTCGTCAGCCAATCAGAGCGCGCGTAATATACTCAAAAATTTTATAAATGGGTACATAGGGACAGTACAGGGGGGTTTTGGTACGCTTCACGACAAATTATCAGCCTTAGTTATTCACAWTTTTTTCTTGTTTTAGGACTGTTTTGGTACAAAAGACAGCTGCCTGTTATGGGGAGATGCTTTCATTTTRGTTTACGCCATTAACGATAGAGATAGCTTCGCAAAAATCTCTTTCATTAAACAACGCCTTGAAGAAATTCGAAACCACGACGATCCTCCATTGCTAGCTCTTGTTGGCAACAAGAAAGATCTGGAAAATGAACGACAAATAGAAACAAGCGAACCTGTTGAAYTTGCAAGTACGTTTGAATCACCTTGCTCCGTCTGCGAAATCTCAACCTTATCAAGTTTTGACGAAGTAGAGGAAGTCTTTGTRAGTTTAACAAGGAAAGCATTAAAAGAGAAACAGACGCGGCAGGCCGTCAAGAAACGACCATACAATAAAATTAAAGAGCGAATGGACAAACACATAGCCAGGAAAAGAGCCATGTCAAGTCTTAAAGAAACCATAGATGAATACTACGTCGCTCGAAGTGATCAGGATCTGGACACCAGGGAGCGAAGCGACACTTGTGAATTTTGAATAATCGACTGAAGGATATGTAAATAATGTGTAAATGATTTTGTATGCCATCGAGTTGCGTGATTGCCAAAATAATTTCGAGACTTTCAAGGGTTTGTTAACGCAATTATAATTTTGATATCAGAACACTGCTTGGTACGTAAGGTCCATCATACTTTGCGCACTTCCAATTTGTATCCCATCAAGCTCTGCGCTCATTTTGGGGATCGTAACGCTTTGGAGTTCAAAGTCCTATCGTGATGCAGCAAGACTTAATTGGTTTCAATTGTTTTTAAACAAAAATTCGGCTTTATATTTGTTTGTTTTGACGAAGTGTATCATCAGGGCGTGTCCAGGATTTTCATTGCAACATGATGCCATATCTATGGTTTTCACGCTTTTTGGCTTTGAAAGGGGGGGGGGGGGTCATGGCCACCCTGTGACCCCCTGGATACGCCCTTGATCATGGTATCGATAAACGTATTGAACATTTCATGAAAGTTGTCTCTGTAATAACCCGACTTGACCATTTTGAGGAGCCATACTTTTCTAAAGTCACTCGGCATTGTAATTACTAAGTATTTAATATATACAAAGGTTTTTACATCTACAGCATGTATTATATCTCACTGACATTAAAGTACACTAATGTTTGCACACATAAGAGTGCTAGTTTTCTCTGAAAAATTGGTCCGTGAGACCAGACAGTACAGAAGATTCAGTACAGAATCCATTAATAAATTGATTTTCTTCTGGCAAATGTTGTTCTGATTCCATTCATAATCGAGAGAGTCTTAGCTGACGCTCGTCTCTCCAAGCTACCTGAACTTCCTCTTGGACCAGTCGCACTGGAATACATACTCGTATTCGCTCCAGGGATAAGAGCACCGGGATGCGCGTCCAAGTATTTCCTGATAATATCTGTGAACATGTTGATAGTATCTATAGAACTCTCTGATATCGATATCTCATAGAAAGAGCAGTTCATTTGTCTTGCTAAATATTCGCCTTCCCTGCGTTTGACATCGCGTAAATGTTCTAAATCAGACTTAGTACCAACAAGGACCATTCCTGTTGCTGACAGGGGTACCGTGCGGCGAATTAGTCGACCGATTCGCGCAGCTTCAGTAAAACTCTTTTTGTCAGTGATGGAGTATAGAACTACGAAGATGTCACTGCTTTCTGCGCAGATTTCAAGCTTTCGCTTTGTGTTCTACAAAGAATAGGAACAAGTTTAGCTTATAACTATAGTCATAATTATTTTCATATTCATTATACTACAGTGTCGAAATGATTGGAAGTGAGAAATAGAAACAAATGATGTCTATTTCACTTTCTATTTGTACATGTAAAACTCGCCGTTTGAGTCCGCGTTCCAGGGGGGGTATGACTTAACAGGGAGGGAGGGGGGCTATTTGTGTTAGCTTACTCTTCCAGCCGTGTCAAGTACGTCCAATGGTACTTGTTCCTGGTCAGTCTCAAATACATAACGATAGGCAGACTCTGAAAGGCGAAGATCATTGAAATTAATCTGGGGTTAAATAGAGATATGATTGACAGGTGTGATTCAGCCAGACAATAATATTTGTTCCGTATTTTCAACAATAGACTTCTGAACCTTTTACGTCACTACTTGMTTTKCAATGCATTGTGGGATCARTTTCWAGAGAAAACAAAAGAAATCCGCCATGTTTTGTCCCAAAAATATCCTACAATGCATTGCGTATACGGTACATGACGTAAAAGCTGCAGAGGTCTATTATACTAGGAAACTGCTATAAAATAGTTTTTTACCTGATTTTTCAACAGGAAAAGATAGTAGATATCGCAACATATGATTTTGGATGGATTTACTGGCAAAACTTACCCAGTGTCTTGTCGTACTCTCCAATAAATCGCTTCGTCAACAGTCTAACTGTCAGTGCTAGTACAATAGAAATAACGAATCGTGAATAAACATCTAAGCAGAAGATTCACATGCACAGGAAACCCAAGATAAAAATTAGGGTCTTACCACAGGAAGCCCAGTGTCATACCTGATTTTCCAACGCCATCCTGGCCCAGCATAACAACATGGAGTGATCGTAGGTTGTCTCCATTGCTTGTTACTGATTTCCGTCTAGTTCTCATGCCATCCAGAAGTTGCTCTCAGTATATTTGCCTAAGGAAATTGGAGAGAGCCTTAAAAGGGCTACTTGGACGAAAATTGCAAAACATTAGAAAAGACTTGAAAATCAAATAGACCTATCCATATGGGCCTAATAATCATGAAGCAACAGATTTCAACAACATATTGATACAAATTCTTAATATTTTGGCCAAAAAATGTTTGAGTAGATGACGTCATCTACTCCATCCTTTTGTTCTTCCATGTTTTGAATCAAAATTTCTCTGATGTGGGATAATTCCAAGACAAATATTTTCCCTTAATTGTTTTTAATAGATAAAAATGAGTCATATATTTGTATTGCTTGAAGTTTTGAAATAAGACCACTTTCATGCAAGTAGCACTTTAAACCATGAACTGCACTTTGTGTGTCTCCTGGACTATCAGCACTATTAGATTTTGTTTCACGCTTTAATTCTCTAAATTATGAAAAGCTCTTTTCACGAGTGAAATGTTTTCGTTCTAACCCGTGAAAACACTCGATTTGCATCTTCTAACAACGACGTCCACAACTTGTTTCACAGGTTTTCCGGAAAAGCACTCTAAATCCGTGAAATGCATAAATAGACACAAAGGCCTTAATGGTCTCTGATTTCATTGTTGCTGTGTCTATTTGACTATTGCTCTTCGGCTATTGGATTATACCAGGGACTGGTTGTTCAAAGTCCTATTATATCGTTAATCCAGGGTTATACCTTCAGAATGTTTTTTTAAAGAGTTAACTTAATTAGCGGTAATCAAGCTTCGAAAGAACCGTTACTGGTTTACAAGACGGTATTACGAATACACGTTTGCAAGAAATGGCTCAGTGCTCAATATATTATACACAACAGGATTTTTTTCAGCTAACGTCATTGGCACTATTACTTTTTCGCGCGTCCGTTGGTTTACCTGTCTAAATCTCAAACAGCTTTCATCAATTACTAAGATTCAATTACCCGGTAATTTTCCAAACAATCTAAGGGCATGATTAGTACTATAGCCTTGACTTAAGCTACATTGAATTTTAAGTCATTTTTAAGGGAGGAAGCTTTTATAACTTCAAGTTCGCTTGAGGTTTTTTAGATAGTGCAGTGTCTTCTTAACTTTCTTAAAACAAGTGTTAAGTTATCGATAAGAGTATCACGGAGGCCTATATCATTAGACGTTGATACATCTGTAACTAAAGTAGTACTGTATAGACAGTTCGAAAAAAGCAACTTACGATCACAGTCCGACCGCCGATAAACTTTCACCTTGGCCTAGTGCTTTTCTCATCCAAAGCTATGTGATCTTCACCGAACTTGATTGGTAACCCAGCGTACGAATCGAGTACTGCTACCTATGTGCTGTATGATAATCTGAAATCACAATACATAGACAAGTAAGGAGAATAAACTCTGGTTTGTGTTGATTTAACAAGTGTCGAGCACTTGATACACCAATCGATCAGATAAAGAGAACTCGTCATTATGGCATACTTTCGTTGACATATATGGGTGCAACTAACAATGGAACGAGTGATCAACGCAGAATTCGATCATATCGAATCTTTCATCACAATTTCAAAACACTCAATGATCTCTATTTCAAATGTGTCGATTATTTCTTCTATCATTCGTATAAAGATCATTGATAGTCTATGATTGCGTCATAGGCAGTGTCTTCGCGTTGTCATGACAATAAAGAGGCTCGAGTAAGCAAGAATTGAAATGATATTTGACAAATATGATTAAAATATAAAATATTTGACCAAGGTTAGGACTACCATTGACGTCGCATTGGTTGCACTAGAAATTGATGATTAAACATTAGCTGATAAAAGATGTACCACTTGGCCTTTTTATTCTAGAAATATCCGTGTCTTACAGTAACTGAAAAAGGCAATTCATTCTCAGCTCTACCATTTCAATTTAATCCCGTTAAGGCTGATTTACACGGTACGATTTGTCGCGCGCGACTTGTAGTATACGATTTTCCTACTACAAGTCGTAGGATTTTAAGCAGTGGTTCAAAACCCTACTACAAGTCGTAGGTTGCGTACGACTGTTGTAGACAAGTCGTAGGGGCATTTACACTGCGCGATTCAAGTCGTATACTACAAGTTGCACGAGACAATCGTGCCGTGTAAAGCAGCCTTTACTACTCGTCTCCTATAAAGCCGTTTATAATATCGCAAGGGCTGCGACGGAGACTGCTTTACTTCATTGTCAGTTATATTTTCAAAAAATTCCAATGATTCGTTGGGATATTCACCTTTCCGGCTAGTAGGCGAGGCTAAAATAAACAAGGTTTCCAGCTTAAATATATTGTCATTTATGTAAGTGAAAAGTCAAGTGCAAACGACCCCAAAGGGCGTCAACAGTCGCATATGATGTGTGTAATATCGTTCATCTATGCGTGTCGAAAACAATTGTCTCTAAAAATGCTAACTATTTATGCCAACTACATAGTGACTTGCAAGTAGACGACAGATGCATACGGTAGGCTGATTGTTTGGCTGTCAAAATAAAAAGGATCAAGCCGCCAATTGCGACACAACTCGAAGATTGTTAGACAAGTATACCGTGGACCGACATAAATCTGTATGAAGCCTCAGACTTTGTTTATATGTGGTCTAATTTCGACAAAAAACCTATGAAATAAAAATATTGAACTTGAAATTTTGAATTTAATAATTTATATGCATCCGTAACACCTTAACGATATCGACAATGAATTATCAACACCATCACAATTKCATAGTTTGAAGTGATGATACTTTCACTTTGAATGCTGACCGTTAAAATTTATATTTTGCGTTCTTACTTATTGTAGTGTTGTCCGTGCATCGATTTTTTACGAAGGATAAAGTTTATATGAATCGATGAGCATTAAATACTGATCGACATGCGGATCGGAATAATCCTTGAAATCATCGTAATAGAATTAATGCTGTATCTATGAGCCATATTGACACGATATCTCCTAAAACGACTTCTGAAATCAACAGATTAATTGGTAAGAAGCTTATACAAGAACGTCCAGACCTCAAAAATCACATTTTGCGTGTTTAAAATCAAAACACCTGGCCATCTTGGTTACGGATTTCTAAATGCCCGTATGTTTACAGAAAAAATAAGTGACCTATTAACTAGTCCATCTCACCTCACACACCATCATCTATCTCCCTCCTATAACTCTTCGATTGCTTCGCAATCTTCGAGTTAAAAATGAACTAGAAATGTTTCGAAATAGATATAATGTCGGCATAAAATGATGCAGTAAATATCAGTTCTGTTTTCCTGAAACCTTAAATATGTGGACATGGTGAAAAGAACTTTAATTGCGTGTCTACGTCTCGTGGCAGCGTTTACGCGCGTGAGAATAAAGCGTTGTCTGCGGATTGTTTTAATGATTGTTAACATTTTACCCTGTGACTCTATCTTGTGGTTGCGTTTACGCAAACTGAAAAGTGCTTTCTTTGATATGAATATAGCAAGTTTAGCGCTTCTTCACTACGTAGCACTGTAACGTAACGATATACGCAAGCACAGCACACAATGTTTGCCATATTATCTTTCTGCTATGTTGTGTTTCTGAAAACAGACCTTCTCTTCGCTGCGCGTAACAATTTTAGGTTCGTTCAGACGCCGAACCTTTACGTTGCTCTTTTGCGTTTCTAGAGCGTTGCGTATAGAAGACAACCATGAGAAAGTGATTAGAGGATATGTTGGTACATATTAAGTTGAGATGATCCAATTTGATCCTATTACGAGAAGATCATTCATCGCGAGTCGTACATCAGGCAATTTCGATCCTATTATTCCCAAAACTCATTCAAAAGATTTTACGCATTACATTCCAATAAAATTCCTATTTTTATGTCCACAATATTTCTAAGACTTAAAACTTTATATCAGAAAAATCATGAGGCATTGATAAGCTAATATGAATGCAATTTAGATCGATTCAAGTAGAAACGGATATCCTTAAACATCGGTAGAATCATGCTGTATAAAGTGACAACCACACCAAAATACGTAAAAATATTTCAAAATCAGCTTACAGAAGAGTTTTAGCTGTTGCTTGACTATATTAGTGAAATGTTTAATTGGCTTATACAAAGGTCTGTAAGTCTGTAGGATCAATGAACCAGTTGCGGTTACAGTGTGTTGGCCAAACTGGTAAAATGAGATCCTCAAAACTAACATAACAAATTTGTTTTTATGAGCGTACCTAACTTGGACTAGACGAAAGACTGTTTTAAAAGCATCCGAAGGGACTTTGAATTCAGTAAAACATTCTTTTATGCTTTCAATGGAGGTTCAAGGCCTCCGCGACGAAGGACAAGAATTAACATGCTACTTTATTGTACAATGCTTAGTACATCAATGAAATGAAATGAGAAATGTAAAAGAGAAACCTTCAGTACTTCTTTTAAGAAAACTCAACTCAACTTACCGATAGTCTTTGCTTGTGGTCATCAATCTCTGTACACGGAAGTCTCAATTCTTGATCAATATGCTCGCGTCTTTGCGAAAAACTATTAAAAATACTTTCTCAGAAATGGCGATAAAGTCCTACTTGTGGTAGTTTAACAGATCGCGGTTACGGACGATCTTAAAGTGCATTCATTGCATGAGATACAGACTTGATTGACTTGCTCTTTCGTCTACTGAAATCGTTGTCGATTCCAAATGTCGTGGGACGTATTAATTACGTCAAACGTATCATCAGGGCGCCTAACCCGTAAGTCAATCATCCTGCTTGAAATAGATAGTTGAGTTGTACAAAATCTCTCTTCGTCTCAATGTGGCGGTTTTAAGGTATGAAGATTTCAAGTGCGTCGCGTGAGAAAAGGTTAATGGACTCGATTCATTTGTGTGTTTTGTATTTAAAAAAGACTTGTATAATCCAAGTAGAGTGCAAACGCAAAAAGCGTGAAAAAGAACTAATCAAATAGTGAGAAGTTTGTAGGAATTAGACATTAGAAAACAAGGGAATTCGCATAAACAGTATTACAATTTGACACTTACTTCCTAAAGTTTTTCTTATCTTGATATTTGCACTCTATTATGACATTAAATCAATAAATGACTGTATTATTTATGCTTTTATTCTGCTAGGTATTATACTTTCCATACCTTGTATCTATAGCAGTGCACACATTGAAAAAATAATGTTAAGGTGGCTTTAACTAAACAATTTCTGAAATTTACCTCCTTAAATAACAAGTAGATTGATATGCCATCAAATTTTTTTACGATTTTACTGCATCACTATTTTAATGCTATTTTGTTCTCAGGGAAAGGTTGAGTTATGTGTGGCCTTGTTAAGTATTTTGTACTATATAGGAATATTCTAGGAACTTGAAATTCCAAGCCTAGCTATAAGGGGATCTTTTATAAGAACAGTTATTTTAAGAACATTGAAAGCAGGGTCATAGATTTGACATCCGTGGGAAGACGAGTACAACTTTCAATGTTCTAGAAGGTTTGATTGAACCTTCTATTAATTACGGATGGCATGGGCAGTACGATAGGCGACCTACATAGTCGTAACCTTCTTCTCAGTAGTATTGCGTAGTCGCCACGTATCGAGACGCGTAACCGTCTTTATACACGTAGCATCCAACTACCTACCGTACCGTCGTGATTGTCGTCACTGTTAGTAAACTGCGTAATCGTTATCACTACCACTCCGTAATATTAACGTTGAAGTTTTGCGTATCTTACGCTGTCTCGCATCAGTGTAATCATCGCGTAACAGCAACGTAATTTCACTGCGTAGCGGCTGCGTAATTACTGACTGTGGTTACTGTTATTCACTCCGTAACATCAACGTGGAAAACTGACTGCGCACAAAATCTGCACCCCTAGTACTGCACCCACTATTCACACTACGTAACAGTAAAAACGTAATAAATACGTAACAGCTTATAGTCGTCGCGTAGAACTGTGCATTGGTACGTTTTTCACATATTCACTTGTCATTTTTATTGAGATATCTCTATAAACCTTACTTACATATTTTCATCCTACTTTGATATCTAATATCTACATTGGAGTGATATATTCTTAGTGTTTTTACTTTTGAAGCATCATATTTTAATCTAGTGTTGCGTTATATTTCCGTCGTTTGTATTTGATTTGTCGATACGTAAATCTTTAGAAGGTTCTATTGCTTTCCATTCTATAAATAATCCATTTTTATTTAACGTCTTTCACCAAGCGCTAGCCTATCATGACAATAGAAATTTAATAATTCTCGTGTTCCAGGTTCAGGTTACCCCATGTAGTCGACATTGAGAAAAAGTTCACACCCCTTCCCCCCTCAGATCCAGCTAATAGAGAAAAAGTTCTCACCCCTTCCCCCTTCAGTATCCAGCTTAATAGAGAAAAAGGACTCCCCCTTCCCCACCTCAGTTATAGTGAATTAAAAGAATGGCATAGTAACGAAACTATGACGCACCCCTCCCTTCTAAGTAGTCTATATAACACTCTCTTGTTCCCTATATAGTATTTTTATATCGTTTGAACGGATTTTCGACGAAACGGAATGGTACGAAGTCCTTTTACTTTAGCCCACGAAGATGGACTCTTCATGTGTTCCGACTTTGGGCTCGGCGGTGTAGAAGGTGACGGCGGCGATGGCGGCGTTAGTGCCAACGAGTGTTCAGCGTCCTTATGACACTCTAAATATTGTCTTATAATATCATGAAACATATCCAATGTATCACTGAATCCTTCAGATATCGAGATCTCATAAAATCCACATCCCAATTGATGTGTAAGTTTACTGCCATCGGTAACTTGCACTTGTCTGAAATGTCCTAAGTCTTGTTTGGTTCCTGCTAAGACGAGCGTTGATGAATCTAGTTCTTTGCGGTTTTTGAGGTATTTTGCTATCCAAGATGCCTCGGCAAATGTCGATCTGTCTGTGATGGAGTAGAGAACGATAAATATGTCTCCCACTGATACGCATTGGTCCAACTTTTCTTTGTTATTCTTAGAAAGAAAAACGCAATTCAGTTTGTTTACATCGCAGTAGGTATTGAGAAGGAGTATAATGAATGCTCAGTTTTTTCAACATTAGATATTACTTTGTTAAAGGTACTGTTTCATTTTACAATTTTCTAAACAACCTGTGTTGAAACGACGTTTCCGAAAATGTTGATGAGACACTGACACTGTTACACTGTCTAACGTTCTCATCAATTTGTCTCACAACCATTTGCAGGAGAATTGATCCACCTGAACTTTTAAGGGGGAGAGGGGATGGACTAAATGGGCTTTCTTTGTTATAAACAGATTGAAAATATTGAAAAACTGTTAACTTTTTACAGGGGATCTCCAGCTCCCCTTTGCCCCTCCCTGGATCCGCCCTTGCCTTTATAACTTACGTTGGATGTATGTGCAAGGAATGAATGGGAGACGGAATAAATGATTAAATATCGAATATTACTTACAATTCCCGCTGTATCGGTGATATCTAGGGTAATGAATTCATTGTCAATCTGTAATGGATGTCTGTATGTGTTCTCTGTCATGATAAGAATAAAAATAAAAAAAGATCAATAAAAAGATCAAATACTGATGTATGCAATATAGTGTAGATTAGACAGTAGAAAACAAAGTAATTTGCATAATTCCGTACAATTATTTAATTGGAATAATGTTTTTCATTGTTTTAATTTTTGCCCTCCTGGTTTTTTATATGTGCTGTGTTTGTGTTGCAGGCATGGTGTTCTTACCGAGTGTCTGGTCGTACTCGCCGATGTATCTCTTAGTTATCAATCTTACTGTCAAAGCTGCGAATAAAGAAAGAAGAATAAGGTAAAATTAGATCATAATCATTACTGATAAAACTAATAATATTCTAATAATATATTGGCAAAATACTATGACTGACGATAATAGCGAATTATTGGTTGAGGACTAGTATGATTTGAACAATTATTGGTTGAGGCCTAGTGTGATATGAAGAATTATTAGTCGAGGCCTAGAATGATATGAACAATTATTTGTCGACACTAAGTACTGTCAAGGCGAATGAGGATATATAGATCTAATATAGTTGTTTTATATATAATATCTATTGGAAAATTAAGCATGATTTCTTGGAACTAATGGCAAGTGCGCATGCCCATGTGACGTCAAAGTAGGAGAAATTTGTAGCTTAACCAATCAGGAACCAGCATATAATTTTACAATGATAAGCAATCATCGTCTATCGATAAGCTCATCAGCCACTACTTTATTGGATGTTACGCAGAATTCAGTATTTCATATTTTTATTTTGTTTGAATATATTTACGATTGTAAATATTGCACAAAGTCGTTTCTGAATCGAGACTATTGACAATCCTGTATTGATTTGTATTTTTAAAACATTGATTTGTACGTCGCAATTTTAAAAGTGCAATCATTTGTCGTTGGATGTTTGATCCTATATGTTTTAACAATATACCGAACTTTGATGAGATTTAATAATTATGAAAATAGAAACAAATTCCCATCGCAATACAGCGACAAAGTTAACCTATTTCAAGACTTCAAACCTTCACCGACTATACCCAATTTCTGGATTGTTTTCAAAAGAACCTGCACAAAGTCTGCGTGCGGTTCCTCTGGCTATGTTTTACGAAGGTTGATTTTTGTCCGAAATGCAATAAAAACTTAAAAAGGAAAAGGCTATAGACATTTTAAGACTTCAAAGGTCTGCCGGCTTTCAAATTTTCTCATTTTATTAAAAAGTGGAAACAAAAAGTGTGTTTGCTTCCTATATTTTTGTCCGATAGAGTTGACTTGCTGAATTAAATGGGAAGAAAAAGGGAGAAAGATAATGGAAAGGAAAAGTTGTCAATCAAAAAGACCTTTATTGCAATCAATAGACAATTGCATAAAGCATATTACCAGAATTTCGACTTAGGAATCCAGAGCAGAAAAGCGTAAAGGAACATCACATGTTATGAATTCTAGATATTTATTCTTCGTGCGAAAAATGTTGAAAACGTTACAAGCACATTTCAAAAGAAGAACAGCATTACATTGAATGCCACATCAGTACTTCTTGCAAACAAAGTAAAAACCGTTTTAAACCAATCTTTTTATTGATTTTATGCCCTTTTTAGCTTAATAATGAAACAAAACGATTGACTGCACTGTTACTCAATAACGAATCGATCTATTTTTAGCTTTTACATGCTTCTAGAATGGCGTTGTTCCGCTTAGATTGTTGCACATTGAAAAGATTATAGATCGCCCTAAAAGCAATAATGGCCATCCATGCTGAGCCGGCACAAATGTCTTCTGTTCTTCATTCTATTTTTATGCTGCTATTTTTACCTTGTTAAAGACTTACTACATTTAGTTCCTTGAGTGGGATAATGTAGTTTTTATCGATAACTTAACGTCAAAAAAGGTTCAATTATTTTCATTCAACTTAGTAGAATAAGGAGATAAATTCTCTAAAACGTCTTTTAATGCACTGATACTCTTTGGACATAATCTTTGTGGTTGTTGTTAATTAAGAATATGGTGAACATCATTCCGACAGTTGGTAAAAGATTTATTTTGAAGAAAAGATCTGAAATGGAGAGATTAGAAAATCCACGACCGAAAGTTATTGTGGGTCAGAATTGAATGGAATATTTCTCGTCAATGCAAGCCAGCAGTATCGTTGATGCCGGCTTGTTTGGTCTCTCCATGGTTTTCATCAATTTTGTGAATCACAGGGATCTATCAGAAATTAAAAACACCCTGCAACTTCTAATTTTGCTTTCTGCTCGTTCGTTCAGACCAACTATGACCTCTAAAATCAAATAGCTACGCACTCAAATCCAAATTTAATAAATATTGTCCATCATTTTGAAAATGCAGTTCATATATCAGAATATCGTCAGTAACACCTGATAAAATATATTCTAAAAGGATTTGAAAACTTCAAAACACTGAACTCTTATTGACACTGCAAATTCAATTTATTTCGAAGTTAATCAAATACGGAAAGACAAAAAACTTAACATATGTGCCGTTGAAATTCAATCATTATAATAACATGAAAATAAAACGTGATGTATTTTTACAATTTTCACAGTTTACTTACGTCAAATCTGATACATAATTATATATGTCAGTCTTACCTGATTTCCCTACCCCATCCTTCCCAAGAATCACTACTCTGACGTTCCTGATCAAAACCGGAGCAGCAATACCCAGTTTTCTTCGATTTTTCATGGTTTTGACTGTCAAAATACCAGATCTTGCTACCTAATTTTAAAATCAATTGAAACCCAACAAATCTGCAAATAAAATAAGTTGAATTAGTAACCTGGGATGTTTTAATCGTAATTGAGACTTTGTGGTCGCTGAATTCTTCTATTTGGTCGTGAAAAAACGTCTTTTCTTAGCTGACAGTCTCAAATATAGCTAACGAAACAATGGAGCAATAAAATACTGAAGTATTCAGTTCACGAAATACCTAAGATATATATTTTTTGGGTACTCTTTGCGTAAATAAACAATGTCGATTAAATCCAATTCTATTTGCTACCTTCAGTTTATCTTGCCAATTATAGTGAATGACTCCAGTCGCACTTTTAGTTATATTCACATAAGTCTCGTGTTCAAGATGTGCTAAGTCTCGAAATACAAAGCAACCCAGCTTACTCGAGTATTCGCTATGGATGATTTTTGACTATATTAACTCAGTAATAGACTATGGTCTCTCTGCGGGGCCAATTTATAGCCAGAAAGCCATGACGGAATCGCGACAGATATTTTCCGGCCTCACTAACAGATAAGCATTTCATAATTTAACGTTTTCACATCAGGAACGTACCAATTAGCGAATGCAGGCAATTTGCTTATTCATAATAAACAAACACGAGTCGATAGCATCACGCACTATTTGAAAATACCAGTAAAACCTAAAAAAAATGATTAAGACAGGAAGCCCACGACAATAACTAGTAACCAGCCTTCCCTCCGCTTTTTCTACGTTTTTCGCTCGTTGAAACACATTCTCAGCTAAGCGTTAGCCACTATATCGTTCTCGGAATATAACTGATCGTCGCTTACAGTAAATAGAGGGAAAATACATTAAACACGCCTCGCATGCCATTAGTCAATGGCAAACGTGAACGAAAGTAATATGCAATAAAAACATAAGAAGTCGCGGCGTAGAAACAGAAGACTCAACACTTTCAGTACACTTGAGCCAATTTGTTGTTGTTCTTTACTGAATTTGTTTTCATTTTAAAAACACAGTTCGATGTCAAGCACTCTCTAATATAATGACTCATTACTTGGAAATTGTTTATATAAATTGAAGGTGTATTTACCGTACATGCTGAGATGAAGATCAATCAATCAATTACTTGAATATAATTTGTCTAAAAGAGTCGCTTTTGATTAAGAGGATGAAGTCAAAAAAAACAGAATCTTAGTTTCTAATTCCATAGTTTTCTGTCTATGTGGTTGTTCCATCTTGACTACATAGATTTCCTTGAGTTCCATTTGTGCCTTACAGCCCCCTTTTATCCCCTGTATATCGTTTGAACACTTTTCGGGTGCATGTTTAAGGCAAAATTATCGTTTTTAGTTTAAAAACATAACTCAATTATGTTCCTTGCTTTTCTGACAATGTTTACATCATTCGGAATTGGTTTAGTAATATAAAATGAAAGAGCGACCGCCATCTTTGATGACGTCATGACCGCCATCTTGGAATTTAAATTTGCTTTTTCGGAAGTCACTTTCCTAGAGTTTATTAGAAACAGACATGATTGAAGTACAGTCGTCGATATGATTCGATAGTCAAATCAAACACTGAAGGAAATTTTTAATTACATAGATCAAAAAGCAAACATTGAGTTATTTGACAATAAATTAAATCCAGGAAAGTTTCTTGTTTTGATCTACAAAAATATTTCATAAAAACCATAAATTTATTCGACAAATTTATTCTACAATAGAAAGATAGTCATTGTTCAACGTTCTTTCACAAGCAAATATTTTGCTCAAAACTTGACGAATTTCAAATCCTTTATTGAAGATAACCGAACCGAAGTCAACTAACATTGAGTCGTAAGTCAAAATGTGGCTACTCTGATGTATTTAAGGACTTCCATTGCTTAACTAAAGTATTAAATAGAATGAGTAAGTTTTACTTTGAAGGAAGTCTGATTATTAGCTATTGAATTCGTAAGGTTTTGCTCCATAAGTTTGAGTTAACCAAAATCTGTTTTAACATCACTAAAAACTTACCTGTGCCTCTATTATACAGACGTAGAAGAAGCAATACCCAAAATATATACAACACAAGGACTTCAGTGGAGTTCAAGGCCTCTTATTTGTGATTTGTTTAGACGAAAAGCTCGCGGGAGTCTTGTTTTCACTCAAACAGTAATAAAGAATGCATTAAACTCGAGCTGCATGACATCTTGAACAAGAATGACAAAAATCTCTCTTAAACGAGCGCATTACTTATATTGACCAAGTAAATTATGTAGCTATAATCCCTGTCTTGGTTTAAGTGCTTTTAGGTTTTTTTTTTGCATGACGATTGATTGTTTTTTAACGATCTTTAAAAGATGAAAAGAAGATGACGTTATTTTTTGTTTAGAATTGCTGGTCATTTGAAAGTGCATATTTTATAACCTGCATGCTGCCTTTAGATAAAAAATATGCTAAGCTTGCTTTTTCTTAACGTTTTTAGTATGTCAAATACAGTGGATTTTATCTGATTTTGAACGAGAATTACTATTTGATATTCTCTGATAGTCATATTCTAAGAGACGAAAACATGAATCAGCCTTTTTTATGTATTAAAAGTCTATAAATTAAATCTTTATTAAATTCAATCTACATTAGCTTTATAACTATTTCGCCTTGAGTCCGGTGAAAACCGTTCTACACCAGTACATGATACTCTGCACGTGCTCACAATGTCGCTTTTTTTCACAGAAGAACTAACTTTTTGCCCTCAAAAGTAAATAAAAAAAGTAACATTTGTTCACATACAACAGAAATTGAAGTTGACTTTTGAGGTCCATTTGGGAGGTCGTTTTCTGCGGTAAAACTGACGCTCGTTGCGGTTTTGTTACGTATTGACTAATCCTTAACAAAGCTGATTTGCGGTCAGATTCAAAGATGAGTGCATCAGAATAACGTTAGACAAGCCCATTGTGGCCGCGCTGCAGGCTCTCAGTGGCGCAGCAAGATAGACGATTTCTAAACGGCCATGTGCAGTCATGTGTCGCTAGAAGATTAATAGACATCGCTAGAACAAGATCATAAAATTGAAAAAGCTGATCAAGTGTGCGAAATATTATGTATATATTATACTTTGTACCAGAAACGCAAGTGCATGTATGACGTTTGGTTACCTTACGTAAATTACGCACTATCATAACCGCTTATTTCAACACAAAACCGTTACTAACGTAACGTGCTAACTTAACGCTAATTCTACAATAATTCTATCACTCAACGGTTTTATCAACGAAACCATTAGCTAACGTAACGAACATGACTTACCTTTCTTCTTCGACGGTTGTTTTAACGAAAGCGTTGTCTAACGTAATGAACAGGAAATAGGTATAAACGTTCTACGCATATCTATATGCACGTACCGGTTATATTGTTTAGAACGTGTCTTGTGTCGTGGTTGCATGCTGGGATTGGCGTAGTAACATTACGTCATATTAAAATTCTTTTATGTCAAGCGTTTTGTGTTGATTGCGCGGAGGTGGTCATGGCAATTACTGTAGGGTTTATGTATCTCAATTAAACAATGTACTAATCCTTCGCTCGATTTATCAGGCGAACAATAAGTTTGGGCGATCAATGAATCAATCAGATGATCAATCAATCATTAATAAGATCAATCACTCAAGCAATCAATCAATCAATCAATCAATCAGGCCACCAATCAATCAATCAGATGATCAATCAATCATTAATAAGATCAATCACTCAAGCAATCAATCAATCAATCAATCAATCAGGCCACCAATCAATCAATCAGATGATCAATCAATCAATCAAGCGATCAATTAATCAATCAGTCAATTTTATATCTTTTGTGACTTTAATCTTAGAATTAAACTCGTATCAAAATAGTTTGTATGTACATATATTTTGTAAGTATTCCATAGACCTACTCTGAAGCTTTCACGTCATATAACATGTACGCAATGCATTGTAGGACATGAATGTGACAAAAAATCATGGCTGATTTCTATTGTTTAATCTAAAAACTAATCCCACAATGCATTGCAAATCATGCATAAAAGCTTTAGCAGTCTATTACTGGGTAACACTTCTAGACAAACGAATTCTCTTCCTGGAAAAGCGATGGTATTTCCTGGAGATGTCACGTTGCTGTGGTAACAGGCGATGTAGTCTGTCCTAAGGTAGTCGGTCGTATATGTTCCGTAGACATCGCTTCAACAATCGACTTTTTCCTTAAAGATTTAGTCTTTACGTTCATGATCCCTTCTTTCATTCGCGAAAGAGTTGATTTATTTTTCTCTTTATTAAAACAAGTTCTTAAAGTCTCCTCAAACATGTCCTGGACTTCCTGGTAACCCTCTGATATCGAGACTTGAAAAAAAAGTCCTTCGCAGTCCTGCGCGAGGTAGCGCCCTTCTTCCTCGTCGACTTGTTGTAGATGTTTTAAGTCTTTTTTAGTCGCTATAATTACAATGAATGGTGATGGCTGGACTGTTTTGTCCTGTTGTATGTACTTTACAATTAAACGAGCCTCGTCGAACGAAGTCCTGTCTGTAGTTGAGTACACGATGAAAAATATTTCACCGAACGCGAGACACGTGTCCATTTTGTCGCGAGAATTCTGAAAATTAAAATTAAAACAGTGAGGTTATTTAGTAAATCATTCAGTCAAATATTGATAGCAATGAGAGAAAATTTCTGAGTAAAAGGACATTTATGACAAAAATCAATAAACGAGTTTTAGACTGGTACAAAGTTCGCTTTTTACGCTCGAAGGGGCTGATGGGAAGAATTATCACACGCCCTGCCCTTAATGCATTGCGCGCCGCTTATTAAAAAATAGAGGTGATTGCGCAATGTTTATTTCCAAACGCGATGACAATTATGATAAAATATCTACATCACTACATACCTTTCCTGCAGTGTCCATAATGTCAATAGACACAAACTGACCGTCAATAGCAATATGGTGACGATAAGTAGCCTCTAAAACAACAAGAAAGTTTCATCACTAAGTCTCGCTTGGATCTAGTCGCAAGGCATTATGGGAAGGTCTCGAGTTATCAACAACTACTCGACAATTTGGATAAATATCTTTGATGTTTATCGTTGAATCGGAAGAGTATCAACCGCCTTTTGAACGATTCCGCTATCGCATCATATTAATCTTGTAAGCACTTGAAAATTGTTATCCTCGCTCGAAATTTAATATATTCGCTTCTTAGTTGAGTTTTTGTAACGAGATTGAAATTATATTTGAGGTTTCGGCTTTGAAAACCGTGCGACTTTTGTACATCAAGCGTGATTGTCGGCGTTTTTGTTTGTATTGGATTTAAGAACTGTTTTTCCTTAAATCAACTCATTATATTAGCTAGCATCATGGTGTATCACGCAAATGTATTTTCCTATTTTCCTATTTCAAAGTATGTAAAGAAACAAAAATAGTCAACTCATTTCTAGAAATGAACCGAAAGTTGAAAATGTTTATTTTACCGAGTCGGCAAAGTCTATTACTATGTGCAGCGAAATCACGCCAATTTATACGAATAATTCTTTACACCCATCGTGAGATCAAAGCTTTGGGCGTTTTTTTTTTCACTTAGAACAACATGAAACAAGGACATTTCTGTGTTCTCCGTGGATTTTTTCAAACACTCGCAATCTTGATATGTCAATACCATGATGCACTTCGCCGAAACACACATGACTTCATTAAGCGGAAAACATTCCGACCGACCGCTTTCAAGAGGTTCGGTCATACTTACCTAATGCTACGTCATACTCTCCAATGAATCGTCTTGTTATTAAGCGAACTGTTAGAGCTGAAATGACAAAATTTTCAGATTTAGTTCTACTCTTGTCTAAATTCATGTTGCTTCAAAAAAGTGTTGTTTTTTTTTAATATTTTTCGCCTTTGTCAATCATCAGTTATGTTTTTGTTGCTGTTGTTGAGGTTGTTCATGTTCTGTTAGGTAGTTCTGGAGTTTTCGAATAAGAAAATTAAAAGTAAACTGTTTTCAAGTCCATTTTAATGTCAACAATATAAACTTATTCAAGCTACTTTCTACAGTTTCTTTACTGAAAATAAATTGATAAAATTGATTAATATGGTCTATGTCAAATTGCAGGTATAAGCAAAGTATTTTTCAAAAATACAATAAATATATATGCGGTATATAAAAAGCGATAAGACAAGAAGAAGCTATCTTTTACAAGTACACTTGAAAGGAGACCGTCCTATCGGTGTTCTTAGAATATTATAGCGCGCGATAAGTTTTAAGTCCAGCTTTACAAGACCGACTTTAACCCTTGATCTCTTAAGAATAGATTACTTGTCCATCAATCGACAAATACACTACGAACTCAATACGAAAATCGGTGTTGATAATATTGATAAACGGTACGAGTTTGGCTATTAACAAGTATTGCAAATTTACAGAGAATGTTAAAACTCCATGAGGAATTTAAGTCACGCTTGATTAAAACTGGTTTGAGCTCTAGACCGACTTAATTTAGCTGTAAATGATTGTTCTATGGTGGACATTCCTTGATAAAGTTTGCATTATTGAAATTGTCATCATTATTTTCATAACCATAACATAATTATCATCATTTTTTCTTATTTACTGTTTATTTAAAGCTACTTTCATATCGTTACGAGCTATTGTTTATGTTTTAAAGTAAAAATACTTCGTAATATAAGCAAAATCTTCCTCTTAATTATCTCTTTATACTCTATGAATAGAGATATTCAGTGAGAATCGATGTTTTTTGATATATAAAGAAACAACTAAATCACGACCGCATTGAATGCTGGTTGATCATGGTCCTTTTAACTATCGCTATCAACCGAATCATCCAACACAATCAGAAATCAACGGGGGAAGGGGGGGGGGGGGACGTCAGTGATACATCTTAGATACACTCCTCCTGAAACACCCCCTCCCCCTGTAGCCCCACTCTTGTCTTCTCAGTCACTGAATCAGTTCACTTGATTGTTATTACTGCTGTGTTTCAAAATAAATCAAAGCCTGATCAATTTTCTCTTCTTTGCTAGAAACAAGACGTGTTCCTTTTAAGATATTCCAAATTGCACCACTGCGAAGCCACTAAAAATACTCGACATTGACATTGTCATACTTCTCCGTAAGCTGTATGTAATTCTACAGGAAGCACGTTAAGAAAGCATATGGAAAAATACTCAAGCAAAGTCAGGTACAACATGTCTGTCGCTAGCTTGATAACGAGGAATCAATGTATTTTATTAAAGAGCTGTTGATGTAACTCACAATTCACTAATCAGGGGGTTGAGACCTTTAGGAAAGATAGCTGATGTCCTCGTGTAGTCATCTGGTTAAGGAATGCCTGTGTTAGGGACAGACAGTCGTGAAACGAGTGATTATAACATAGTATTGAAGTAACTGTAGTGCTGCATGAATTATGAACACAAACAGTCGTCCTAATGCGCATACACACTACACACACTATATATAAATGAAACGAAAATGTTCTTTTTAAGTGTACTGTGTTTTAAAGCATATGTAACTGAGTATTTAATGTCATTATTATTATCCAAGACAACAGTGTAGATAATAGTGGTGGAAAATAGCGGTAAACTAGTGTGAGTTGCTTCAGTGTTTCTAAAGAAACAGTTGTGTAAAAAGATAAATTTAACACCGTAAAAAAGCATGTGAAATAACTTACTGACGTTTCGAACGTTAATTCTTCGTTAGAGTAAAGAGAAGTACTATAGAAATTATTCCGGGAACTATTCAAAAAGAAATTCTAATTCTAAATAGCCACAAAAAAACGATGATGAAAAAAAAAAAAGGAAAAAAATACCATAACGAAGACGTACGCCGATCAAAATACGAAACAGCATTACGAATTCTGCAATATGTTCAGTAACTTCAATTATGCTTAACCAAAAAAAAACTAATCTTTCTCAATTTACTGTGAATGTATCAAAATGTATTTTCTCTCAGTCTAGACTTAACGGCACGCCGGAAAACCACGCTCACTATGGAACTTTGATTTATACACTAAATGCTATAAGGGCAGGACTGACCTGTGACACTATCGTGACAAGGTGATTGATTAACCTGCAATCATTTCCCTTTTCGCTATCCTTCAATTATCTTACATACGAATATGTTAAGTCAATCACAATTGTCTGAAAAGCCAGGAAGATGGCGGAAAGAAATGACAGTAAATTATAAAGGGAATCTTCGCGGTTACCCACAGGAACCCCACTCTCGTACACAGGAATCCCAATCAATGTTTTTGATATCGGTTCGAAGTTGTTGTTTTTAGCTGCAGTAGTTAATAGAGACAATACATTCCTCAAAGAAATGCCGAACATAATTTAAGTACTCTATATAATTCCTATTAGAAAAGTCAAAAAAGACATAATCCCCTTATTTAACAAAGACTTTTTGTGTCCTAGATTAAATGGATCGAAAATATGTATAAATTAAAAAATAAACCTCTTTGCCTATCAACTAAAATTCACTTCGACCTTATTATTATTTTATCATTATTTTGAATTCTATGAGGTCAAGTTAGCTACAAAATAATTCATCTGACGGGATAGTTGTGTTAGGTTTGTTTGTAATGACTGACCTTCATGTTAACCCGACTGAAGTGAACGTCACAATGAGCTCCTTTGCTCACTTCACCACATATTTGTGTTAAAAGCTCATCAGCTTTTCATTTAGGTCGGTTCGTAACGTTTAGGTTAAGTTTCCATAAGAACATATTATCCTCAAGTGCCGGTCGAAAGGTTATTTATATAACATTATTCATGTACTTCTAGACAAACAATGGCGATTTACAAGTTCGCTTCATTTATGACTCTTTTACGAGTTGTACTGAGTGTCATTAGTATTAACTTCTTCAAAGTCATTACATAATAGTTAAACTCGTACCCTAGAATTTGAACTCGGCGCAAATCTTTCAGGTTAACGAATTTCTGAATATTGAAAAAAGTTCCTTGAATTTGAAGCAGAATCACTTTGTACAATGTTTTCAAACTTTGTACAATTTGTTGTTCCTGTATATATTACAGCTATTGAATTGCCTTTTGCGATTGTTTTGGCTCATTGAAGCTATTATCAGTACTCGAAATGTTCTTGGAGAACGAGTGCTTACAAAATGAAGACACTTACCAGATTTCCCGACACCGTCTTTACCAAGAACGACTGCATGGATACTTTTCAGGCTATGTTGGTGATGCCCTGGGTTGTGTTGGATACTTGAGCGCCGTCTTCTCATAATTGTTCCTTAGTTAGACTGTTCTATTTTGTGGGACAAAGCCAGAGCTTTATAAAGTTTGCTTGTATAGAACCACAGACGAAGCACAAAGCTTTCTTGTGGGTGAATACCCTTTTAACTTTGACTCGAGCTAAAGAGCTCGCTTGTTGTTGTGATGGTTTTGCGGTTTCACTGTCTAGTCTCGAGTTTCTCGCTCGCCTTCTCAGTTTGTCACAAGCGCGATAGAATTATTTCCACAACAAGTTCTGGGTCTAATCTCTCCTCACGTGGTAAACAAAACTATCGACTACCGTGTCTTCGAGATTGTTTGTTGACTAAACTCGCATATCTGGTATTCAATCGTAACATTCACCAAGGCACGAATAATTGGTCTGTTATTTGTCTTGAGCGTGGGCTGATAGTTAATAGAGTCCACACCTATGTGTTAATTTAGGCTTTGTTGTGGTGGTCCATTGTGGACGGGATAATCTTGTCCGATCATACCGCTCCACCATTCCTCACTCCCTGTCATCGTTAAGACAATTTTTTGTATACGAGCTGAAACTGATACTCTACAGGAGGCGAGTTGCTCATCGCGTGCTGCGATATTCTTCTGATTTCAATCACTGGTTGACAGCCACTGCTTACTAAAATATGCAAAGGATTATGTTAAAGTAATTGTATGTGCTGCATATGTTTTAATAGATAGTGTTGTTTACTCACGAAAATCACGAAACCTACTTTTCCTTAGGTTATACTTACATTATAGAGAAGTGGGTCCAAATAATTACAAAAATACTAAAATATAATTGTTACAATTTACGGTATTATACTCCTGACTCCGTGTTTTAAGAGGAAAGAAGTATAAACCAGTATATAATAGCAGTACAATAGCAGTATATAGAGCATAACGTCCTGGGACCTATGGCACCAATCGTCTTGTCCTTAGGCAACATACTTTTCAGTGCCCAATTGCCAAGTTTATCAGTTAGATTAGTGTCACAAGTTATCGCCGTTAGTTTCAGTGGTCTATATTTCATCGTGTAAGATATGCTTTTGGGAATGTTTTCCTTGGCTTATTGTCTACGTTTCTGGTTTTGTTTGATGTTTACTGTTGTTTGTTTGCTTTTTTATGTAAAAACATGCGACTCTGAAAAAACACACCTTGGGCGTTACCCTTGTACCCTTCCAAACCACACCCATCTATTACCCGGCATTGCTTTGAGCTATGAACTCCCTGCAGAGTACGCGCTATACATATATTTTCGGTATTCTACTAGAAGATACGAACTCATAACATCAGTTTAGTTAAGCAACGATGGATAGCCGGAAGGTCCTTCCGTACGTACGGTCTGGCGATTACTACACACGTGCACAGATTTCTGTCACGTTTTTAACGTTTCTAAGAGACGTTTCTCTCACATGCTGTGTGAGTATTTTCTTCCCTGGTGTGTTTGTATTCCTCCTTCTCTTCAGAACTGGCCGCGAGGAGTATTGTTTAGTATTTAGTGCTCACTCATTCGTCTCGAAATGTGGGCTGCATGGAGTGTTACATGCCTAATGATCTGCTAACGTCGGAAAGTTCACTTTAGCAGAAATGTCTTCTGATATAGTACTTTGATCTCTTGATCATTGCGTTGACTAAGCCTTCTAAGCGTTTTACAGACAAAGAGCGGAAACATTTATCTCCTGTAAGCACTTCCATTATTTCTTAACAGTTCTTTTAAGGGATAACACTGTGTTAAGAAAAAAATCGGTTTAGATTGAGATTTTTGGTATATCTATTCCAATCCTAATCGGATGTTCCTTGCTGTTTGATGGACAAGTTTCTTGTGTGTAAAAGACCATGTTGATCGAATGTAGACATAGAGTATTTAAACATTAAGGCAACTGTACAACACTGCAATAGAGCAGAACATTTGGAGAATTCTAGAAGATTGGACAAAAGATAATTAAATCGAATTGCATGCAATCAAAAAACCTTTCTGGCAGGCAAGATTCCATCGATTATTAATATAGAGCTATTAAAGTCATTGCAAGCTATAAAATCGATTGCTTCTAACACGAAAAATACAACGAGACGAAAATTCCCAGACCTTTGACTGTAAAAGGTCGATGTTATCAAACAAGGCGTCGCACTCCATCATGGAGGTCCAAGTGAGGGGCGTATCAGTAGTGGTTCAAGAGGTATTTTTTTTTTTTGCGGATGTAGGATAATTGCTTGATATCGTTTTTATCTTTTAGTTTATATAATTTCACTGATTGTCCATTTTATTTGACAGAAATATTTAATTAAAAACATTTTTCTGTTGTCTGTATAGACAATGGAATATGAGATTGAGCTATTTCATCTCCCATCCTACCATTCCTTCCCATTTTCTTTGCCAGCAGTGTATTGCACTTGTCATGATCATAAAGGGAAAAATGGCCAATTGTGTCACCATTTTTAAGGCAGAAATAGTTTCCCTAGTTTGCGCTGTCTGTTTTTTGTGGCTTTAGAGGCCAAACTTCTCTCTTAGTTAAAAGTGACAGTTTTTATTCAATCTAAGCAGTCAAATGCTAATTCAACCTGCGCAATTCACTATAATAATTATGCACTACACTAAAAAAATTAACTTTCAAGACTTTTAATTGTCAATAATTCAGCTACTTTATACATTTATACAAGATTGGACTATGCCAAGCGCCAAAGTTTCTCCTTTTCCTATCGTACAAAAAATGTCAATCGTTGATTCGTCTCTTCATGCGCAACAAGCCAAGTAGATCACAAACTAGACTTTTACAACGTAAAGAGTTCTTTGCGCATAAAAGACAATCTCTAACTCATTGTTACTTTGTTTTCTCTACCACTCTCCTCGTGACACTCTGGACTAAGCATGCGCAGAAGGCAATGGATATCCCGCATTTCCTCGCGATTCGTAGACACCTTCAGTGGGCGTCTTTTTTCTCAAAGACTTCGCTGTCCCTCTCAACCCTTCTTTTACTCTCGATAGAGTCGAACTCCGTCCACGATCAGAGTCTTTGTTAAAACACATCCGTATCCCTTCTGTCAAAACTTCTTGTGTTTCTTGGAATCCTTCTGATATAGAAATTTGAAAGAAACTAGATTCCAAGTCTTGGGCTAGAAATAGTCCCTCGTACTCGTGAACCTCACGAGATTGTTTTAAGTCACTTTTCGTTGCAACTGTCACAATGGCTGCATTTGGTAGCAAGTTTCTACTGTCTTGGAGTGCTTTTGATATCCAGTTTGCCTCGTTGAAGGAATCTCTACTTGTTGTGGAGTAGAGGAGGAATATAAGGCTCGCGTTTGATATACATGCTTCGATCTTTTCTTTTGTATTCTGGGGAAAAAATTAACAAAATGATACCAATCTACTCGTTTCTCTTTCCAGAAATCAGTGTCGTTAATCATCACAATTATCACCAATCATAGCGCTAGCCTGCGCAGCGGCCCTCGTCCACAGGGATCCCAAGATTATAGCGTCGAAAACAAAGTATGAAACTTTGATGCTAGAAGTATGTAACTTGCCTTTCCTGCCGTATCCAAGATATCCAAGCAAACAAATTGACCTTCTACGGTTAAATAATGACTTTGAGTTGTCTCTGAAACAAAGAAACAAAACGATGGTCTTCCTGTGTGTTGTACTTAGTCTCTCTCGTTTGAAATACTCGCAGGAAGCCCGAGTGTTTGGTTACAGTAGATTTTATAGTAGATAGTCTATTTCGTTTAAAATATTCACAGATAGCCAGGTGTTTGGACTCAGGATGGCTTATGAAAATTACTCTCTTTCCGTTTGAAATACTCACACTAAACCAGTGTGTTTTGAATTAATCTCGAGCCCAGAGTCTTCACGGCTAATGTTAGCAGATGGCAAAAGTGCGGGCTCTAGGTACGAGATTGGTTTTGACTCGGAGTGGCTTATATAGTACTTAGTCTCACTCGTTTGAAATATTCACAGGTAACCCAAACTGTCTTACCTAATGTGCTGTCGTATTCTCCTATAAATCGTCTTGTCAGGAATCGGACGGTGAGCGCTAAAATAAACATACATTGTGAATATTGAGATTCAGGGCTATCAGTCAGGTTCTAAAGGTGAAGGAACGTCATTTTCTAGGCAAACTAAACACGATGGTAAACAGTGGCCGTCGCGAGCTTCACTCCAAAAAAACAATTTTGAAGATGATTTTAGCGGACTTAAAGGACAACATTTACCCATCATGCATTGTATACTATTATTCTCACAGTGTATATAAAAGTCCCATCTATGAATAAACCATTATATCTATCTATATATAAACTATACTGAATTGAATGAAGATTATTAAGCTAAGTCTATATCTGTCATTGCGTCAAGGACTTTAAGTTTCTTTTTCCGCATACAATGCCTCCACCACCCACCCACMCACCCACGGGGTCATACAGATTCTTGTCGCCTGGGTAATGTAACAGTAAGGAGCTCATCAACAGCCTTCTTAGAAACATGGAAAACACTCTTTTGTTGCAAGGTAGATTTCATGACAGAAACCCAAAGCCTACTTCAATAAATGACTCATTAATAATGAGCACTGGCTTTATGGTTCTAGTCTGTTCTGTAATCGTCGGCAAGCGAAGCGGAAGCGAAATCTCCTCATTGCAAACTTTTCTGCGCTTATTTTTCTCAGTTCTGTTGGAAATAGTGTTCATAAAGAAAGTTAAAATAAAATACACCATGATAAAGTTAAATATAAATGAGCGAGAATTTTTTTTTCAAGATAATTTTTACATTTTTCTTTCTCTTTCGTTTTTTTTTTTATCATGTTTTGATCTTATTATCTTTAACAAATATATCAGACCAGGTTCTCCTTTTAAACCTATTTTTAATTCAGGAAAATCAAAACATTCCAGTGTTCAACTGAACAAATATCTACGATTTGTTTCTTATTTTGTTAAGATATCCGATATGAAACAACACGTGTTTTAAAGAACCTCTCGCTTTAGTTTCTAGTTTGTTTGTCATTTTCAAGTAAGCATCGGCTTTCCGTTCGTCTTCGCCTACATCATGCTTCACCTCAATGGTACGATGGTATTAAACCACAAGAAGTACGCGCAATATAACGATTGAAAATGAGAGATTTTGGACTATAAAATCGATAATCTTTTTGATGCGGAAGTGTTGTTGTATGCTAGTGATACACACTTCAATTGCACTCACGTATGATTGGAGAATAACATCTCATGACATCTCGCTTCTACTTCTAGCGAGATAGTAGTACAAAGCATGGATGTACTTTTGTGTACAGTACCAATTGTAATTATTGACTTGGATAAAGCCATTCATGTCTATTTGACGGAAGGTTATTTTAAAACTGAAGAAGGGTTTCGATTCTTATCTTCTAGTATGATCGTACGACATTATTGGGTTAAAGTTCCCAAATCATCACTTCTTAACGTAAGCTATCTATGGGTCGCCATTACAATAATAAGGCTCATTTACAGTTAGTTATCTTGGCATTGGCCGCGTATTGTGTGTTCAAATGATTCTTTTATTTGATAGGTTTATATATTGTCGACTAACATGATACGATTCTACCTCTTTACTCATTGACTTTTGCGTGATATTCTATCATTATCACAAATCTAATCCTGTTAGACTTGATATCGCGTATAAATTAAACACATTTAAGCGCTCCTACCTGATTTTCCAACACCATCTTGGCCCAACACCACAGCTCGTATATGTTTGAGATTAGATTCACGATGTTGCGTTGCTGCTCTCCTTCGCCTCATGCTTCTCCGAGTCGATAACTCCCTACTCGTGTTCCCTTGTACACCGCGTTTCTATTGAACGAAAGAAAATTTTAGAATCGTTTAGATATAACGCCAGTCTTTGTGTTGTAAAATCAATATTTCCCGAGCCAGCTCTAGTGAGTACCATTGTGGGGCCTATAGATTACGTCGGCTTATGTAAACTCAAACGAAGACAACCACTTAGAGTTGTCCAACTAAAAGCGTAACACAAACAGATCGTAAAAGTCCATGGCAATCATACTAAAATTAACATTCCTGAGAGATTTAGTAGCTGAAATCCCTACTTATTATTACCAATAATTATACTAAAATGAAGACATTGCTTGCATAATAGACATGCTCGGTGTAATAGCAGTGTTGCCATGGCTACATTGATAGTTTAATTAAAGTATAGTGTGAAATGGATTAGTGTAATCTATGGTAGTTGAATCCGTAGACATTGCAATTAAACGACTACAAATGTGTCAGTATTAAATGAGAGGTTTTTATATTATAAACCCACGAAATACACTTTTTGCTCTTTCTTTTGACGTTTTTTTTATTTTATTTTATTTTGATGTACCACACTTCCGTATACTGATTTTTCTTCGTTTAACGACTTTATGAAAAACACTTCTAGCATATTCAAATTACTGCAGAAAACGTGAGTTGCTCTAATAAAGCCCCAGCTTTTTTACAATAAAATGAACCGATAAGAGTTTAATTTTAAAATTTGAGCTCGTTAATTTTTTAAGGACGTATTAATTTATGCTATTTTATATCAACTTCTATTCTATGATCTTTTTTGAGACTTTTTTTCTAAGCCAACCTGTTTTTACTGTTTCGCCTAAAAACAAATCTACAAGCTGTTTGATATGGGCATCAAGGCTCCAGGTTCATAGTAGAGAAAAAGTTTGAACAAAATCGTCTCTTTTTGATCGTTTTTATCAATGTCTTTTGATCGATCTAGATCTTTTCATCTATATCAAGGTGTTTTCATCGTTTTCTATAAACTCAAGTCTACAATCTGTTTGCCGATTGTCAACACAATGCAGGTACAGGCTTAGAAGTGTGCAGTTCCGTGAAAATCGTCTCTAGTTTGAACGAACAAACCAGTCCAATGTTTACATTCATGACAATTGGATTTTTGGATTTTGGATTTTTCCTTTGCGTGGTAATGGTGTACAGTGTGCATTTAGGAGCATTGTAGACTCCCACTCAATACTCCTTGTAAAGACTAAATTAGCCTGAACTATTCTTATAGTAGTAAAAATACATCCACGTGTTCAATGGAGGAAGAATGTTTTATTTTAAAACTTCCGAGTAAGGCTCACGTAGTCTGGAATGGAAGAACAGAGAATGGCGGGAGTTTGTCAGGAAAGACGACTTGTTTTGCCTTATAAATAATGCGACATTTGACACCACTAAGCGCTGCGATCCGTAGCATGTTGCATGTAGAGTGCACAAGTTATTAACGAAAGAACGACTTCAATAGCAAATATTAAAAACATGGAATAGAGTGAAGTCAAAAACCCGTGAAATAGATATTACACTAATACACCTCAGTACACTCTAATTGCATTATTTTCTTTTGTGTGTATTTGCAGACTATCACACTTTTATAATCAACTATTGTTTCACAGGTTTAATGACTTCACTGAAGTCCTCAAACCCGTGAAACAAGCCTTTAGTGTTTGCTCTGTACTACTAAGACTTCATTTTCTTTATTTTTACATTTGATATTTTATTTCAAAGATGCCTCTTGAAAAAATTAAAAACAGAAATATTAAAATATTCTCTTTACATCAAAATTATACTTTTCGTTTTTACCAATTCAGACCGTATGTCCGGTATATAGGTTAATTTGATAGAAAGTTACAGCTAATCGAAGAGCGCAAAAAGCGTGCCAGGTTTTAGCGAATCTATCAAGCGAAGCACTACGATACAATTGACAGAGTAATGTAAACAGACCTAAATCCTAATGGATATTTTGACTATCCGCTCACCTAGTCATCGACCTCTAATGCTGAACACTAGAAAACTGGCACTATGTCATGACCACAAAGTAAAGAAGAGAAATCTACTAGCTTACCAAGTATTGTAGCTAAATAGCGCGATATCGTAGCGTATCGATAAGACAAGGAATTCTCATAATAGTCAGTTCATTTTAGCACTAATTAATTACTAAGTTTTTCATGGATATAGTGTTTGCACTCTATCAGTCCGAAATACTGTAAGAAACTGTACGAACGTTTGTACATTTGTACAATTGTTGGCAAAATGTTTCACGGATGTAGGGAATGGTCATAATAACCGTGAACAGGTCAGATTACAGGCTTGGATTATTCACGCTGTGTTGCGACTAAATCCGTGAACAATCTGATAGACTCCATTATACAAGATAAAGCAATGGCATTAGAGTTTCACGGATTTGCTGGTTTCTAGTATAAAACGATCGCTATAAAAGATTTTTCACCCCATATAACCCCACTAATTCAGTAATGACAACTCCAGGAAGTTGAATGATATAATGAGGTCACCTCATCAATTTAACTATTTAATCTCGACTATATTTTCCAAAAGTTTAAGTTCTAGAATTATTGGCATTCATAGCAAAAATAAGTTTTGTACCTTCACTTCTTTAAATACTATTGGTTAAGTGTTAATCCGTTTAATAGAATAAACATCACCATCCTCTGCACATAAGCCAAGACAACTGAAGTATCCCACAACTCTCGCTTTTGTATCTCAGTTTTGGACCATGTTTAACTCCATCTATTTTTCTTGGAGCTGAATTCTCTTTCAAAACATGCCCTTATCTTCGCCTTCTGTCAAAACGATGCAATCGTTTCTTGGTTGTTTTTCTTTAGAATTGTTTATATTATGTGGTACTTAGACAGTCATATCTAACAGAGACGTTGTAGACAATGATATCAAACGTGCATAAACGTGCGCGGATTTTTACTTTCTTTTTCAAGCGCATTTTATTGAACTTCTAACGAAATGTGATCATATTGTACTCCCATATCGCTGAACATCGTGTTTCCCCCTTGAAATCGAGTGCTAATACATGTATAACCTCTTATTAAGAACTGATACGCGACCGAATGTAGTACTACATCGTCAAACGAAAATAGAGAAACAAAAAACAACAATAACGACTTAAACCAGGGAAAGACAATGACAATCAGAATTACAAACAAAATGAATGGCAAACATGAATACTGTTAAGAGTTGCATTGCGTGAAGTGTGAACACTCAAACATATATGGCCTATGTCTTATTAAAACTCATTAATGTATGTAATATAACTAATTAGAAGTCGTTCTAGGTAATTGTCAATGATATTCACAGGTAATATGTGTTTATCGGCGGTACCGTGCTGTTGCTCGATGCATGCGCGCAGTTGTTAGGAATTATCCAGAATTTTTAAAAGCCGCTTGTCTCGCCGATGTTTAAAAGATGATCATCATTAAAACTCAGTTAACCTTGAATACTTTTTTACTCACCAGAAAAACATAAAGCCAATCTTCGCAAGGTTAAAAGTCTCAACTTCTTTGAATTCAATCAATCAAAGTACAGTGCAGGAAGGCCCCTCGGCAATCAGACACATAGTCAAAGCTTGAACTCAGCGGCTGCTGCCGAGATCCAGCTGCAACTGTAACGTTGCGTGCTCAATCATTGATGAAGATTTACTGGTATGACAATGTTGTTTGTATTGTTGACAATATCTAATCTAAACCATTGTTGATACTAGTGATTTTACGTTTTAATTTCCTGGTGGCTAAAATAACGAAGAGTTTCGACCTTGTAACGGCGCCATGTTAGATTGCGAACTAAAATTCGAACCAGAACCGCGCGGAAAGAGAGAGACACACAAATATCAAAAGAAAGAAGAGAAATAGTGGGGAATAAAAAAAGGAATGAGAAAAAAAAGAAATGTATGCAGAACAATTGCGCGCGACCAATAGTATCTTAATATACGTTTAAATATTTTATCATTTCATGAACTATACACCATATCTTACATAAAATAGCTTACATTAATTTGAAATCATTCATAAATAAATTCTTTTTATGACATTATGTATATCCGTTAGACCTCCCTGAAACAGGTGAGGTCAATTTAGAAATTCTTGAATGACTGACAAGTCTATTGATTGTAGCGTATCTGAGTTTGGACTATTTAAAACAACATTATCAAAATGTCCATCATATATTCACAGTCCAGTCTTGTGGCTTGTTGAGCCTCGCCTCTACACGCTAACCGGGGGATCTGGTTCATAGTCCTGTACCTCTTGTGCCGGTAAAAAGACTCGTTCTTGTGTTGTCAGTCTCTTAATTACTTGTTCTTGTTCGCGTATTTTACTCGCCAGCATTTTAGTAGCCATTTTCTGATGCGCTAACGCTTCCATTTTGTCACTCAGCTAAAAAATAAAAGAATGATCGATTACTTGGTATAAAACGCATACCAGAAGAAATATGCAAATGTCATACCATATCAACCAATCGCTGAACGAGTTTGTCATCACGTGATCTCATTAGTTTCATGAATTCTTCTTCGCTGCTTTCAGCTGTGTCTTGGTGTTTTGCTTTTCTTCTCGATGAAAGAAGACTTTTTGTCCATGGGACAGACTTGTGAAGGAGCTCATGGATGAGAGAAGAGTTCTTGTTGAGTTGTTGTTCAAACGCGATTCGATAAGCATCAGCAGTAAGCCGCGCTTCTTCTTCATTGTGGCGGGAAATCTCTAACTGAAAAGCGGAAAAAGATTGCAAATGGTCACAAAATGGGATAAAAAGAAGGAAAGGAAAMGAAAGGCACATGAAAGGGGAACAAAAAAAATTGAAAAAATCCCACTCCCGAAAAAAATTCCATCCATTTTTTTTTTGTTTTGTTTTGTTTTGTTTTTTGAATCCAATGTAATGTTGTGTCTTTACCTGTTTCGTAATTCTCCCAAACTCTCTCTTGGCTTCCACAGCTGCCCTGGCGCATGAGCATGGTTCCTGGTTGTGACCACGACACTGACAGGCACCAAGTGTTGCAAGCTAAAGAACAAGACATCATGAGTACCTTGGATAACAGGTAAGATTCTGCCATTTCAATCCTACTACTATTTTTTAGCTATTTTAATACCACTTCCTAAGAAAATATTTCATGGAATTTCAATCTTGTTGCTGTAAAGCCATTTCAATGCCAATTTCTAAAAAGCCATTTCAGTGCCACTTATATAAAGCTACTTAAATGCCACCTCGTATAAGCCATTGCAATGCCTATTCCAAAAAAGGCATTCAAATGTTATTTCCTATAAAGCCATTCAAATTCCCATTTCTATGAAGCCATTTCAATGCTATTCTAAGTAATTACAAAAAAATGAAGTCTGCTACTTTATATAATGAACATCTACCAAAACTCATTTTCTAATGAAACTACAAGTGATATTTACCTCAGCTATAACTTCTTCACTTGAATAGGGTCCATCCTCTGCAGGTGACGATTCTCCTTTAATTCTGTCCCTTACTTCAAGAGCAGCTACAAGTTCATCTCTTTCTCGTACCAAGGCTGAATATATAAGCAATTAAGACTGATTGACCCTGGTTACTCAAGGTAGAACAATACATGTAGTTATTTTAATTGGTCTGTTAATCATCAATTCGCCTACTCAAAATAAATTTTTCTTTTTGTAGTCAAAGTTAACTTCACCCCTCATTATTGAGATGTCTCTATCTTACCTATTCTGTCCAGGGCAAGCTTGCGAAGCTCATCTGACCTGGTGTGGAGCGCGACAAGAAGAGCAGCATTCTCTGACGCAACTCGGTCAAATCTCTGAGCCCATGTCTGCTCACTGTCCATCAGGTAACTTTGCTTTAATTCAAGTTCCCATTGAAGCATATTTACATCCTGGATGGAAAATATGATAACAAATTGATCCAATTTCATCATCATCATTCTGATGATGACTTCATAGTTGAAAATATTTCATTTTTTATTTTTATTGTCAATAAATTATAGCCTTAATTTTATTGTATAAATTTATCATAAAGACACAAAATCTTTTGCTACAAAAGCCTGCGAGTGCAATTCTTTTAGACTTTTACTATTGTTTTCCAGAATTATTATATGATAACAGACTTGTGTTCATAAAATAATTGTGACTTGCATGTTCTAGTTGTTTGCTAGCATCAACAGCCTTCTTCGTTATCCTGCGATGATGTGCCTGCTCCAGACGAGAGTGCATATGTAATGCTTTAACAGCGCCATACTTCTCAAGAAGCTCCTTTTGACAGTGTTCCAGGTTAGCAGTCAATGTTTCGATTTCCTGGAAAAATTCAAATCCAGTAAAATACTGTAAATTATAGTATTTCTAGGCCGCTAATCCAGATAGTTGCAATAAGCAATGATCAATCAACTCAAGAGCTCTTACTGTCAGTTAGTTTAAAAACTATGCCATTGAGTTTGATTAACAGCAGTATAGAGTTACACATTGTTACTTTTATCTGTGATGGTCATGTAGTTTATTATGTTAAAGGGCTATAATTAAGATAAAATGGGGCACGTCAAGCATAGGTAGTATTTCTCTTGTTTCTCGAGTGCTTTTAAACTCCCACCGTGTTTATATCAGAGGACAGAGACACAAGCGGCCGTTTTATATTTCTTTTATAAAATTTTTCGAGCAAAAAGCAAATTTTGCCTGTAAGCCGTGTCTCTGTCCTCTGATATAAACACGGTCGTCAGCCAATCAAAGCGCGCGTTATATATCGAAAATTTGATAAACGTGTATATCAAAATTTTTATAACACTAGCTATTACTCTTTTGTCAGTGGTATTGGCAAGTAAATGTCACAAAAAAAAACATAACTAACCACAATCACTAGAAGAAAAAAAACTGCACCTGATCTTTGAGGCTGTAAACAACACTAATTTACGTTTGATTGTTGTGTTCACCTATAGCACTTTATAAACAAGAATTTATTTTAAATTGTTTTTATTTATGTTCATTAACCTCTTTCGCTTTCTGTAGTTTGTTCTGCAGTCGTTTGTAGTCTTTGTCTTGAAAATAATGCCAAGTTTTCTCTGCAAAAACAAATATATAATAATAGTTTCATTCAAGAGCTTTAATTGATCCTAATCGGAAGTAAACAAACACATTACAGATCAATTTGTTCAAGAAAGGTTTACGCAGGTTGTTTTCACTGCAAGTTAGAAGACCTGTCACCGAAAAGTCATTTAGATAATCAGATTGCTAAAAAAAACTAACCTTTAACTGATTTCGTCCTTCTTAAACATTCTTTGCTTTCAATTCTATTATCATCTAAAGCACTGTCACTATTTCTTCGTCGTCTTCCCTTCCTGACAGTGGATTTTTTTCTGCACTTTTTACAAGACGGATGCTGACTGCCACCTGTAATGTTGTCGTCGACTTTCGACCTCTTTGGGAGAGTTAACGAAGTAAATTTTTCAAGAAAACTAGAGATTTTCCATGACGTTAGCTTTGAAATAATATCTTTTACTGCTTCTTCTTGGTTGGCACACGATTCCTGTACTTCTTCAGGGCTTTTTAGAGGGGAATTCGGTAACGATTCGTATAACTTTTGCGTGTTTTGATCAACAGCTGATTTCCCGTCTGGTGACCGTCGTGGGGTTTGAGGAAGTGGTGGCAATCCACCTGGTTTGAAACCAAAACCAAGTCCAAGATCATCTGATTCAAAAAACGCATCGTCTTCTATCCCAGTACATGTTTCCATAAGGATATGTTAAAACCAAAATGATCTCAAGAAGAATATTACCACCACATCAACAGCTTCGATCATCTGCCATTTTGAACGCTTAGTAACCGCACATATGAGAGAAAAATTTGTAATGGACTTCCTAAGTACGACTGGATAGACTGGACTTCACTTATATGGATTTTTCAGAATTTCACGAATTGTAGATTGTATAACCGAATAAATGTTATTTCAAATTACTACAGATCAGGAGCTGTGTTTTGATGGCCCTTCAACCATAGTTATGAAGCACAAATATAGTTAATAATCAAACTGGTTATCAAGATATCATTTGCATTTTGGTGGGCTATAGCCCATGCATTTTAATCAAAAATCGACCATTTTTGGCCATTTTGGTTGGCTATAGCCAATGCATTTTGATCAAAAATCGACCATTTTTGGCCATTTTGGTGGGCTATAGCCCATKCATTTTGATCAAAAATCGACCATTTTTGGCCATTTTGGTGGGCTATAGCCCACGCATTTTGATCAAAAATCGACCACTTTTGGCCATTTTGGTGGGCTATAGCCCATGGATTTTGATCAAAAATCGGTCCTTTTGGGCCATTTTGGTGGGCTATAGCCCATGCATTTTAATCAAAAATCGACCCTTTTTGGCCATTTTGTTGGGCTATAGTCCATGCATTTTGATGAAAAATTGACCATTTTTGGCCATTTTGGTGGGCTATAGCCCAAGCATTTTGATCAAAAATCGACCGTTTTTGGCCATTTTAATGGACTATAGCCCATGCATTTTGATCAAAAATCAACCATTTTTGGCCATTTTGGTGGGCTCTAGCCCATGCATTTTGATCAAAAATCGGTCATTTTTGGCCATTTTGGTGGGCTATAGGCCATGCATTTTGATCAAAAATCAACCATTTTTGGCCATTTTGGTGGGCTATAGCACATGCATTTTGATCAAAAATCAACCATTTTTGGCCATTTTGGTGGGCTATAGCCCATGCATTTTGATCAAAAATCGACCATTTTTATTTTGTAATACTACAGTTTTTATATAGTTTTTGGTGAAACTGACAAACAAGAGTATATTTATATAAATGACATTTTATTAAAATAAACCCAAGACAATCAATAATAACAACTGTGATGTGATGTATAAATCAGTTGGAATTTCTCTTTCTGGACTTTGTTTGATATCCAGTTGTACTTTCACTGTATTCCATGAAACATCTTTGGATTTGATTTTGGTCTTTGAACATAAATTGTAAGCAAGAACAATATTCTGCATATATTTGAATGTTCTTCTATTAAAGTATCGTCGTGAATAAAGCTAGGATTTGAAAGTGATCTTAATTATATATTTTTATTCTCCCAAAGCATCTCGAACAATCTCAGGAATAAGGTAGTCAGATTGACCTTCTTCGAAGCCTTTTGTTGTGTTTATAAATGACTGAAACGAGTGTGCAACCAGTTTAAGTCTACTTGCAAGTTTAGCCTTCATTTCTGTMTCATTTTCTATTTCCACTAACAAGTCTTTTTGTACTTTTTTCTCTTTTTCTATTTTTTCTTGCATTTCTTCAATTTCTTTCTTGTGTTTAGAATTCAGTTCTTTTATTTGTTCATGTGATTGTTTTTGGCATTTTTCTTCCATGGCTTTTACAGCTTGGGCTTGTTCAGACCTTAATCTTTCTTTTAAAGCATTGAGAGCTTGCTGGAAGTAAATAATACTGTTTTATAATATGATCAATGACCTACGTCATCTTATATATTGTGGATATTTCAGGATCCTTTTCTTTGATACTGATGATTTTAGACTTGAAGCAAGGCACACCATTTGATTGTTCTTTCTCTTGAGCAATTTGAATCATGACACAGGTAGCCCAAATATAAAAAAAATGTCAATGGCCACAGGAATTTTTTTACATAATGGTCACATTTTTTGTCATGTTTTTTTCCTTGTCCTTATGATTATGATATGTTATCAGGGTGACCCAGGTAAAATAGAGGAAACAAATATTGATAATTACATAGTCTAGCTAATGCAACCACATGTTTTTTTTTATAGTAAGTCTACATATTTTACTCACTTGTTTTTCTATCTCTGCATTTAAAATGACCTTCTTTCGTTTGCTTTCTTCATCAGCAAGGATTTTCTGGATTTCTTTATCAGCTTCGGACCTCTCCTCAGCTTTTCCTCTTTTAAAAGCTTCAACTCTCTCAATTTCAAAGTCTTTCTTTGCCTGCTCCAAGGCTTGCATCAGTCTTGACTCCCCTTCTTCTCTTTCTTGTTGAACTTGTTGTAAAGCCAACTTCTTCATGAGTGCTTCCACTCTTTTGGACTCTGCTTTCACTGCTTTCTCCTAATGACAGGAAAATTTACCTTTTATCATCATTACTTCAAATAACCTCTTCAAATCATGGGCAATAGTATGAGAGAGGCGCAGTGTTGAATGATAGTGACTGTAATGTCATGATAGCTGCCGTTTTAAATAAGTATTACAATATACAGTATTAGAAAAAAAAAATTCTCTGCTCTCCTATCCTGAATGGACACTAGAAAGAAATGTTTACTTGAGTTTTCTTCGCAGCTATCATTGCTTTCTCTAGCTCTTCTTCTGCAAGTTCCTTGGCCTCTTTTAAGGATTTTTCTTTATCCTGGGCTGCCTGTGTCTGTAGTCGTTGTTCAACATCAGCAACTGCTGATTGGCGTTCTCTCTGGTGGTCATCACAAATCTTATTGTAGACATTATTACCGACAGCTGAAATGATAAAAATTAGTTTATTATTTGAGGAGCAATCTAAGAAATATCAAAGCATGAAATGCCATTGCATTAGTCACATTAAAGTGAGCTTTTCTTGCGTGAAAAGTCAAAATTCACACGTAAGAGCAATATTTGAAGTCAAAAGTAAAGTTTCACATACTATTATTGAGAATTCGTTTCAATTTACGAAGAAAATAAGAGAAACACGACAAAAAATGTTTTTTTTTTCTTCTTGGGCTATTGTCAGGTTATCTCTGAACTGAACATCAAAAACAGCGTTATTTCTCAAAGAAGACATCTACTTACTTAATATGTCTTCATGTGTTGATCTCTGTATAACACAAACGTTAGTATCTTCGTATTTTTTCGGTAAAACAGAGCGATCATGTGTAGCCACATAAGCCGCCATTTTGAAAACAACTAAAAGAGCAGCGAGTTGCTATAGTAACTTTGCTCTCAACACAGGAAGCCCAACTTCCCCTTGCGCCCGCACGCATTCTGTACTAAACACAAAATGGCGGATTATTTAAGGTAGTTATGTTAGCACTTTTCTAGCCACATTATCAAGCCTGATCTCTATAAAAGCATGGCACTAGACGGCGATGTAACTATAGTAGTTCCTGGAGAGCGTCTAGGTAGTTTAGAGCAGTTTGCAGCAGGAAATGGCACATATTCCAGACACGGTTATGTATACTCAAGCTTGGCAGGACTCAAACACGTGGTGCAAGGACAAGAGGTATAAAGTGCAATGTCTCTAGACACCCTTATAATGAGTAAACCTGTTTTTCGTAAGTTGATACCTAATCCCAATCCCAGACACTGTTATCCTGATCCTAAAGCTAGAACCTTTATCCCTGATCCCAAATACAGACAGACTTATAAAGGACTGAAAGTTTATAATAATCTTATATTTTCTTTTCCAGAAACAAACTATAAGTGTCATGAGAGAGGAACAAGAAAGTGTTGTTCCAGGAGTGGGATCTGTTGTTACATGTAAAGTAAGAGCAAAAAATTAAAACTCAAACTATGATTATCTGATTTCCTTGGGAAAAAAACAGATTCTACCGTATATCCCCAAAACTGGTTGTCTCCTTTGCAGCCTCCCTTTTGTCGGGCTTCCTGTCCCTCTCAAAACTGGAGACATTTGTTAACTATAGGCTGTCTTGATTCTGAATAAAAATATAAAAAGAATGTACCCAATTATATGACAGTCAAACACACATTAATGTTTCCCAAGGAGGTAAAAAGGGTGGCAAACAAAGCACTAAACAGAAGAGTGAATTAATGTTACAAGGACTCAAAAGAGGGTGTACATGTATATCTCCTTCACACCATAAAGCTGGTCCTTCCTCTACAACAACCCCTACAAGGTGTGACAAATAGTTTAAGTACCACAACTTAACTAAATGATATCTTTGTATAAGGTAACTAGTGTCAACCCCAGGTTCTGTAAAGTATCAATACTTGGAGTGGATTCTACAGCTCTCAAAGAACCATTCAGAGGAATCATTAGAAAAGAAGATGTCCGTGCTACGGAGAAGGACAGAGTTGAGATTTATAAGTGTTTTCGACCCGGTGACATTGTAGTAGCTAAAGTAATGTCACTTGGGGATGCTCTTTCATACCAACTGTCTACAGCTGATAACAGTTTGGGTGTTGTCTTTGCTAAGAGTGAGGCTGGTATGTTTATTGTTCAATGATAGTATTTTTATGAATTAAATGTGGAAGTTGGGGTGAAGTTATTAACATTTGTATTGAAATTTTCAACGAAAATTATTGCCATTTATTAAGGTTTATTAATACAAAATACCCTTTCCACATGAACATGTACAATTATGTATTTTATGGACGGCTGTGTATGTCCTCTTTATTCCTGATACTTCTTCATTAAAGAGGCCCTTCGCTGTCTTTAAGATAAAGGTTTCATTGCTCTTGTAAGTCATGTAAACTTTTGTTGTGTTTTTAGGAGCTACAATGGTTCCAATAAGTTGGTGTGAAATGCAGTGCCCAAAGACAATGGCCAAAGAGTCAAGAAAAGTTGCTAAAGTGCAATCTCAATGACATTAATCTTAAAGAATATGAAGTGGAATATATCGGTAATGTTTGTGTTGAAGTGGACAATATTGGACTCTTAAGTCCACTTCCCATTCAGTGTTATATTGAGTTCATACAGTTTACAAACAAACTTCTACATTTGAACTGTGGAGAGCTGCAAGAAAGTGTTCTCAAGATGGAGATATTGGCGATAAAGAGAACTAGTCAAGCTCCAGTTATAGATTTTCTCAGTTCTGTGTGCTGTACCTGAGATAACATGAGTAATCTGTAGTATCGTTAGTGAATGTTTTATTAGATGTTTTGTAGTTGTAAGCTGCTTTGTAAAGTTTTAAGAGGATTGCATTCATCATTCATTTGACTTTTTCAAGTAGATTTATTTCATATAGAAAGTATGTTAAACCTACTTACAATGTCTATGGTTACTCCATGAGATCTTTGCAAAAATAAAGAAAAGAAAAGGCAGAATTAGGAATAAAAATGCTTTTAAAGATGAATTTTTTTGTGGTACTTTGAAAAACTTCAACGTCATTTTACTTGAAATTCTTATCTTTTTTGGCCGTTTTACTTATTTATTTACTCAATTTTTCATCCCAGTGCTGTTGCTTTCCCCTTTTAGTTTCATTTATTTCAAACGGCGAATCTAACATGTACATAGCTCAAACAATCATTTCTTTTTTCACTGTCTCTCATATTTGGAACAAGTGAGACTCGGCGTGCCTATGCCACAAAAAACTAATAAGCGCATCTACATTTCTGTCTCAATGACTTTCATTTTCCCTAAACGTTTTGTGCTCTGCGTTACGAGTAAGTTATGGTAAGGCCAACGTTCACCGTCACACACTCGTCTTTTATCTCATGAGATAGCGTTGCTGTCTACTAAATTGATATATAGTTTTACTCAAGTAGCTTTAAATGGCTCATGAGGTTATGATACACCATGATATAATTAAGTACGGCTAGACACATGGGCCGTACATATATTGAAAATTAATCAAATTTGACGCCCCTTGTTGTATGAACGTAATCTGGGCGGAGACTTTAAAAGGTGTTTGTACTTTTATAATAGATACAATAAAGAGCTTCGTTTCTTCAAGTATTTATGAAACGTACTGGTCACGGAAATAAAGACATTGCCTAAATATTTGGTCATGTTGTATGGCGTTGTTGCCAAGAGGCAAGCCACACACTTGTCAATGTAGTATTTACACAGTAACTATAAAAGACCATTTTACTCAGGTGTAATAGGCAGTCTATTTTTCAAGTGCTTCGGTAAAGATTTGGATCTTTCTACGATTCAGTTCGAGCCTTATTTTTTACGAATAGCCGCGCAGGTTGAGGATGGCAGTGTAACGTACGACTGCGCAACGGCACAGACAACACTAACATGGTTACGGAAACAAATGACTCATTGAATTGAAAAGGATCGCGTACTGCAGTATCACGCCACGAAAATAGGGTAGTTTTTATACACACAAACGAAATATCGGCTTCATATAGTAAATGAGGGAAATCAAGTTGTGAGGGATAAATGTGCACGGAATAACTGTCAAGCATAAGAGATTTAGAATATTAAAGACATGAAAGAAGATGGTAGTTAACGTCACGAACTTCCAACGGAAAACCAAAAATCTTAGAAAGTTTCCCAAATCTCTTGATAGTAACGKAGATAAAATTATTTCCAAATTCTACCGGATTGAATCTTTACAGTTACATATTTTTTCCTCTTGTATCTAATTATATTGGCACGTGTAATGTTTCCAACTGAAACTGTGTCAACAAGCTGTGTATTTTGGTATAGAAACACAGCGTGACTTCATTTCAGCGTGACTTCATTCCTCTACAGTACAACCAGCTATTACATGAGTCACGCAGCATGCAGATACATAGAAGACTTCCGTGAGTTTAGTACTAGTGGGAGACCGCAAAATGTCACGCCCTATTATATGATTATCTCGCGGTMACGCAACATTCAWTTCCACCGRCGTGAGCCTAGTTAAGAACTTTCGCGATTTTACAAGGAAAGATATTTCTTTTTCAGAAGTATCACAAGACTTATTAGCTTCAATTATGAAGCTACATGTAATGTGTTTAATTATCTGTATTGAATCAAAACTAACTCTTTTAAACCAATTGACCATTCCTTTAGCTCTAGCAGCGTTCGTGGGGTGACTCTCATGCCCTAGGCTCTCGTCCCTAGGAAGCTGACTAACAGCTTAACGATTAACAGTAACTCAAATAAAACTTAACATTACTGCCTAAAAGCCAAAGGGAAAGAGAAAGTCTGATGTCTCTGTTGTATCTAGATCTATTCATGGGTGTCAATCATGCGGAATCGTGTGACTAGTATGATCAAGACTCCCTTTAGTTATCAAGAACAAGGAAGCTGTTGTCGCCATGTTCGATTTTCATCCTTACCTACCAAGAATAGTGTTTTTAAGTCTACAATATTGCCGGACTTAAATGGATATTTCTATAACAATAAGCCCTCAATAAACAAAGAATTTTCTAAAAATACTCGTTAAAACCAGCTATTTCAACCCGGCGTACGTCTGTCTTGTTTAGTCTAGAAGCTAATGGCTTCCCGTCGGCTTAACGTTGGTTTTCGTCTACATTGCACCATAATAGACTATTTTTGAGTTACTCGCCCACTGACGTCTGTTAAGAAGTAAATTGATCTGTATTTGAGGTGATTTAAACAAGAATACTATTGACCTTTAGGTGGACGTCATACCTCCCTTAGGGAG